CGACATGGTAGAGCTCGAGAGCGATGACATCTTACGGGACGCGGCCACCGAAAACGTTGCGTTTCTCGTCGTTGGTGATCCGTTTGGGTGAGGTCGTCCTCTTTCTGTTTCTTGTATGCATTGACTTATTATCCTTCTGCAGCGCGACGACACACACGGATTTACTGCTAAGAGCTCGCGATCTGCAGATTCCTACTCAAATCATCCATAATGCATCTATCATCAACGCAGTGGGGTGCTCGGGGCTTCAGCTCTACAATTTTGGGCAGACAGTATCTCTGGTCTTCTTTACAGACACGTGGAAACCAGACTCGTTCTACGACCGCATCGCGGAGAATGCCAAGTTGGGGCTGCATACCCTGGTACTTCTTGACATAAAAGTAAAGGAACAAAGCGAAGAAAATCTAGCAAGGTGTTTATATCCCTCATCTTCTCTGGCCCCTTTAGCTTCTGATTCGTTTTGAAACACAGAGGAAGAAAAATATACGAGCCGCCACGATACATGTCTATTCCTATAGCCGTGAACCAGCTTCTCGAGATCGAAAGCATTAGAAAAGAAGGCATCCTTGATGGCGATTCGACGCTCGCTATTGCACTATCGCGTGTGGGCAGCATCCCCTCCGGCGAAGAATCGACAGATGATGACGACGGTACTCAACGTATCGTCGCAGGTACTCTCTCGGATTTGCAGGTCCAGCCAGAGTCTGTGTTTGGAAAACCACTTCACAGCCTCATCATCGCTGGTAAGAGGTTGCATGAATTAGAGGCGATTTATGCTGGCGCCTTTGCTGTTAATAAGGAGAACTGGAATCGGATCGCAAAACAAACATCTTAGGTCAAATAATCGTAAACTATTATAACACGCATCCTATGTGATTTGGCAAAGTTCTCAAAGCACGTCAGTGAGTGAAAATGGTGGCGAGCACCGAAAGAATATATACATATGGTACAAAAGCATCGAGACAGCAATGTCGGATAACAATAAGATGAGGTTGTCAGTTGGGCCGTGACAAAAAGCAAGACCCAAACGTAAAATTCCACACCCTGCCCAGAAACTTCAAATTACATACACATTTTCCTTCTTCATCTGATAACTATCCAGCTTGCGGAAGTACTCAAGGCGCGCCAGACGTTCCTCCTTGTATCGCTAAGGGTTGGAGAAACAATTATCAGCGAGGAGCAGTCCTCATGAACATAGCTAGCGAACCTCGCGGGTTTCATCTGACAACTCCATCAAGTCATCAAGGGGCTTCGCTTTCTCCTTCCCCTTACTTCGAGGCTTCAAGGATGATTTTTTGACACCCTTCGACACGGATTTAGCACTTTTTGGGGCAGGCTTTGCACTTGATGATGGCTGTGCTCTCGGTCCAGGCTTCCTCCGCTTCGGCTGCTCCTCATCACTGCCACTGTCACCGGCAGGATCGACAACTATCCTAACTCTTCCTTTACCCCCAGTTTTCGCTATGGAAGCTGTCTTCCGCATAGCTGCTCTGCGCGGCAAAAGCTTCTCCAAGTTCTTGCACGCCTGTCTGGGGCTCAGCGAAGCATCTTCTTCAGTACGTTTGTGAAGCTTGGACGCATCATGCTGAGCTTTGCCCTTCCCTTTCGCCTGTGCACGTGTAGTACGTTTCGGAACAGGAGTATGCTCCTCCGATGTTTCTGGGCGATCTGACGGTGTTTGGGGTCGTCTAGCGGCAACGCTAATCTTTACAGGTGATGGGCTGGATACTGCATCGCTGGAGGCGGGAGTAGCAGCTTCAATGTCACGTTTACGTTTTCGCGGTGTCCGGAGGGGATCGCGACTGCGCGTTGGCTGGTCTCGTAAAATGTCCAAGCGAGGTTTAAGTAGGGCTGGGACTATTAACTCCGAGCGAGCTGAAGCAGGGGAGCATGATGGTGTCGGAATATACGAATGACGCAAAATCGGCGCAGGGACTGGAATAGATGTCGTGATTGGTTCGTCGAGATAAAGATCATCGATGTCTTCATCGTTTGTTGGGATGGGGACTGAGGAAGCAGCTGGGCGTGTTGGAGTAGAAGTAGCGCGATTAAGCTGTCCTCTGGTACGTGTTGCATGTGGTGTGACGCGTAAAGCAGTAGATTGAACGTATTTGCGTTTCTCGCTTGGTAGACGTGCAGCGCGTCGTTCTTTCCGTACTTTCTCGGTCGCTAAAAACCCAAATGGGTCTGAATCACCACTTCTAGGATCTATCTCCTGTGCATGACGATAAAACGCGGCCATGTTGTACTCATAAGTATTTGCATGCGATGTTGACGCGTAGTTCTGTTGTCCATATGTGGAAGTCGAAGCGAGCGGCGAGCTCGGAGGGAGTGGTGATGTTGGCTGCCAATTAGGAGGATCGGCTGGGAATGCGAGGCTTTTTGGTTTCTTTGGCCGTCGAGGTGGTTTGAGGCTTGCAAACGCGGAAACTGCTTTGATCGGAGACGGTGAAGGTGGATGAAAGAACTCATCAGTGATATCACGAAGCGCATCTTCATGAGAAGGTGTTCGAGGCGGATTTTCCAGCGAGCGGGGTGGTGGTGGAATATAAATGCTGAACGGGTTTCTTCGGCCTCATACTTGTTGTCCCTATCACCAATGGCGAATATATTCTCGTCGTTTTCTTGCTCAATCTCTGAATCAGAGTTGAGATATTCTTTCTCAACTTGGACCTCTGCTATCTCTTCGCTTTCATGGACTGCCTGAGCTCTTTGTCTGCGCGTTCTTGGTGGCATTATCGACGTTGTGGTGGAAGGGGCGTGGGAATACGAGGACAATGAGTCAAATGCGCGAGGTAGCGATTGCGGCATCACGTGAATTGAGTTTCCTTATTTATCCATGAGTATTTTGCAACCGGCTGTAGTGGTCGAGTGATCCGGAAGTGACGGAAGACACAGTTTCTAAAAACCTTGACATGCACCAGGGCAGATCCGTTAGGAATTCACGCTCGTGTGCACGCGGATTATAAATCAAAACGATGGTACCATCTACTATATTATTCATTCACAGCAGATCTAGACTCCAGCAATCATTGGGTCCCGTTCATCGATCATTATATAGGTGCGAGTACACACACTGCAATATCAGATCCCCTGATTTCACTATCTGATTCTCAGAAATTCATCATGCCACATATGTTATCCCCTGCGTCTCGTACTCGCGTAATTACCTCGATCGCCCGCTTCCAAAACCTTGGCCAGCGGTGTATGAGCGTCCGCCCATTAAAATATGAGCCTCCCACAAACACATCCGGCGAACCTTCCCCGCAGAAACAAGCTTTACTGCCTCGTGAGTGACATTTTACCTTTAATCGCCAACCCGATTTCTCATCATGCACAACAGCCCGCAAAAAGGTGACAATCGCCTCTCTGCACGCCCTCCGTCAAGAACGCACCCCGATCACTGTGCTTACAGCGTATGATTATCCCACTGCACGTGCTGCATCTACACACGGCATTGATGTCACCCTTGTCGGTGACAGTCTAGCTCAGGTCTGCCTAGGCTATTCCAGCACCACTTCACTCACTCTTGATGAAATGCTTCACCATTGCCGCGCCGTCGCCCGAGGAACAACCGCACCACTTCTTGTTGCAGACATGCCGTTCGGAAGCTTTTATGCCGGGAAAGAAGACACGGTTCGAGCAGCTGTCCGCATGCTCCAGGAGGGAAACGTGGAAGCCGTGAAACTAGAGGGAGGGAGTGAGATCGCTGGACGTGTGCAAGCACTCACGAGCATCGGAATCCCCGTAATGGCCCATGTAGGGTTACTACCACAACGTCACACCGCGCTCTCCGGGTACCGGGTCCAGGGGCGCACAGCACAGTCTGGTAGATCGATTCTGCACTCAGCCCTCGCCCTAGAGGAGGCAGGAGCGTTCTCCATTGTTCTCGAGGCCATTCCTTCCTCTCTCGCTGCATACATTACGTCGCGGTTGAAGGTGCCCACTATTGGTATTGGTGCCGGCCCGGGTTGCGCTGGGCAGGTACTTGTGTGGGACGACGTAATGGGGACATGGGCAGGGCACAAGGCAAAATTCGTCAGACGGTTTGGGGATGTTAAGAGTGAGGTCGAACGAGGTGTAAAGGCATATGCCAGTGCTGTTAGGAATGGCGGCTTCCCTCAACACGAGAAGGAGGGTTATCGAATGGATGACGGAGAAATGGAGAAGCTATTGGAGATGGAAGGTGACCGAGAGTGGACGTGGAGCCCTCCGGAACTGATGTTGAACTGACCAGATGCTTCGATGTGGCTGTGCATCTATTATTAATTGGGATCCCGAGGTGTAGGTACTATGATGAATTACAAGTTAGGTTATACTTTTTTTGATTTAGGAGACTTGCTTCGAGACATGTTGAGGAATCATGAGAAGATTTATTCTATATTGTTACCCGTGTATGGAGGAAATGGATAGATAAAAAACGCACAAGAGGTTGGCGAGTCTAGATCTTGATACCGAACTTGGGAATACGAACGGAGTCCGTATCTTACTACATAAAGTCAGTGGAAGTTGAAAACAAGTGTAAGGCAAGCATGTCGTTGTTCTCAATCTGCGATGCGATTTTCTGGAGCTGTTCGAGCTTCTCAATTCAGCACCTTGAGGTATGCCGATAATTCTGCCTCGAAAACCACCAGTATACAATGTGCATTGCTCAACCAAAAAATCACTCACCAGTGTGCATCCGCCCCATAGTTCTCTAAAGCATAGCCAACTAGCTTCTCAAAAGTCGAGAACGGTGGTCGTTCGGAAGAGCGGTGATATACACGTCCGCCTCTTCAATATCGCGGAAGGTGGAGACACATTCGTCGATACTTTTGACGTGGAAATGTATGCACTTGCAGGTTCATTCCCACCGGCAGGGCCTCAAACGTTTCTAGACATGCCAGCGTGATACCTCTGATTATTCTGCAGCTGCAACTCAACCTTGCATCAGCACCAGCTGAACCTGTTGGCAAACTTGTCAGTATAAATGCACACAAAATTTTGGGCAGGAGGGGGACTCACTTCTCATTATACGCCCACTCTATATTCCCCATCGTTCCAGGTCCATACCACATCATCTGTGGCAAATGTTCGTTTCGTATGCCCGTCTGCCCACCCGTCCTCTCCGCAATACCTCTTAATCCTTCTCCCAATTTCCACACTTCTACTTTCCCAATTCCGCTTCGTCTAGCCGCCTGTCTGATCTTCGAAATTAGCCCAGGAATGTCTCTTCACTGGCACAGAGCCGCGTAATGATTAGCGTTGGCGGAGGGGGTCTCAGGTCGACGCTCCAGCATGCGTATGTGTCTGGGTCAGTTCAAGGACTGTATACCCCAGACTCCGCCTGCCATGGAAAAATCCAAGGCATACGTTGAACGTGAGATGTGGAACCCGCAGACACCGTTGGTTGGCAGGCACGTCACGAATGCTGCAGGGCGTTCCACTTCGTATGAGGTGTCGCTTGTCAACATCTTCTCCAGCTCTTTCTTAATGCGCCCAGCATCGCGATCCCACAGCCCGTTCAGCTGCTCCTGCGTCAACCACGTCCATTCATTGTCATCCCCCTCCTCTGCGCCCACGTCCCAAATAGTCGAAACGGCTCCCTGCGTCTCCCATCCACCCTCTTTACCTCCAGGGCCTGCCGAGCGATAAAAGTCTTCCCCAACATCGCTGTACAGGCAAGAGAACAGTCCTTCACTGGCTTCTGCTACCTGTTCCGGTGGTGCGCCCCATGCCTCTGGGAACTTTGGGAGATTTACACGCGAGGCGATGACCCAATGTAAGAGGCTCATCATATGGCTTGCGTAGCCGCGCCCGCGCTTGGAGGGTGGGGTGAAGACACTTGCAATGGCGTAACAGGTTACTTCGTGCACTGAGTTGGGCTCAGATGTAGAAGAGGAGGGATAAGCAACAAGACCTGAGCGCTTAAATCTGCCCCCATAGACGTGCATCAGAAACATTGACGCGTTCGTCGAGAATACTCAAGTAGCTTACGTCTCACAGGAACACATGAAATTAAGAGTGGTTGGGTCGTCCCGTGGCGCCAGCACCCTTCCTTTCCCATTAACTTCTTCCTGCCGGCAAAATGTCTTGCTCACCAGGTGATGAACTTTCCATCCTTTGCGTGATCCATAGATTCCATCTCAACTTCTCGCGCAAGGTACTCTGTGAGACTCAGAGTGCCACCCCACTGTGGCCACGTTCGGCACCACGACTCCTCAACCTGCGCACGCGTCGCCGGGAAGAGCGAGAGCGACGCAAAGTCTACCTTTGATTCCATCGTTTTGTGATCGTCTTTGCAGTATGATGATCTGGTGTTGAGGGAATTTCGCTAGTGACTAGATTGAACGCAGTGGGGCTGAAAGTTATGTCTCTATTACAACCTCGCCGGTACACACTCGATGGCGCCCAGCGTGATAATCTTCCGAGTCTATGTAGCTAATAGACGTGTGGTACACTGACCAAGTACCGGTCCAAGTGCTTCGACCGGCACTTAATATTCAAACTCCGTGCTTCGCCTGTTAGAGGCAGTTCGCCGTTTCAGCAAGAATGCACCCGACCAGTCATAAATGCATAACCGACTGCACTGGCTACATGCGTCCGACATTTGTCTTCACAGTTTCAAGCCCTACCGCGACATTAAGCGAGTATCACACCGCTCCAACAAACATTCAAGCTCAAGTCTTGCGTCTCATGATCGCTCACCTTACGGCTCGCTGTAGACTAGTATAAAGCATCTGCATGTCTATGGTGCGTCTTGAAGCTTGATTGTTGATCCCCATCAGGAAGGGAACGTTTCCGGTACTGTGCACCAAGAAGATTAAGTTTTTGTTGCTTTCAGCCTGCAGTGAATTTGAGCCCGAGAGCGACCATTGGTCCAATATGCGCATCATAAATAGAAAATACAAGAACATTGTAGCCAACGATGTGTGAGCCGCAAAGTAGTCTCAATTCTAGCATTCCGATCAGCATCAGTGGTCGTCCGCGCCCGGCCACCCCCATCTAACGAGCCGAGTCGCTCCGTCATGCCATGTTTGCACTCTGCGGCTAGCTAGTGTGGACATCGTAGAACCGCGAGTGCCAACGAAGCCAGCTCCATTCGACTGAATGATAGCATCAAGGAACACCGGATGCCTGGTAACAGCCACAACTTTTAGCGTCAGAATGAAAATATGACATCGAATCGGCTCACCATTTTCCATAGATCTCCTCTGTCCGTTCTGCTGCATAATCTACCCACGTCCACCCCAACGCCCTGACATCTGACCACCATTCCGGGTCCCTTTCGTCGCTCGTCATGATAACATGTGTAGCATCAATTCCTTTTCGTGTGCGAAGCTCTTCTTGCACTTCAGACACCCTGCGCGCAATAACAGACAACGGGGCAAAGCACTGGTCCACTGGAAACTCCTCGCATTGTTTGCTGAAGTCGCCATGCCGTATGTGGATCGATATATACTATCGAAAGTTAGATCTGTAGAGCAAGCTTTGCCCGAAACTTTGACTCACGGGAGGTGTTGGTTCAGTTACTGGTACATTCATGGCGCGTCGAGCATGCGCATCGGCAATGTTTTCCATATTTGCAGTCCATCGCATGTGTTGGCCTACAAATCTCCATGCGGGAGAATAGTCTAATTCCCATTCCCATGTATGATGGGCGCTTACGTAGTAAAGCAAATCGAAGCATAATACGTGATCATCCGGGGGAAGGGAAACCTGGTGCTGAGGAGAAGGATGATTCAGTAATGATAATCCCAGGCTTTTGGAGCGAGCCTCTGGAAACCCAAGTGATGCGAGAGACCAAAAGGATGCATGATTGTGATGTATGCTAGGAGATGTCAGCTCGACCCAAGCTGGGGTTCGCGTCCACGAAATATCTGTGATGGTCATGCGTTTAATCACCGAAGAGGGATGTTCGAAGTCATCTCACCGAGCTTGAGCACGTTCAGGGAGGGACTTCGTCGTGGTTCAGGAACCTCGATGTGCTGTTGAACGGTTTCCCAAACAGTCCAACAACCAAGATCATCGTACCACCTGACTTTCTGGATCCTTGACTTCGTGCCATTGAAGCAAGTGAATCCCTATGGCTTGACTGAGTCGAGGGACGTCGAATATTTCCTCGAAAACAAACGGAGGTGCGCTTGGGTCGATATGGTTAGAGAGGAACTTTGGGATTATGGGTATACGTTCTGTTATGAGAGCGAGGTATATCAAATTGCCCTAGTTTTTGTGAGGAACAGGGACGACGTCGGAAGCAAATCGTTGACCTACATAGGTTATCACGTCATTCGCTAACAAATAACTGTGATCAGTGGTTCAAGTGGTATTTGGTTGGAGCTGACGTACTCCATCCTGCTGAACCCCACGATGTAATGTACTTCGTGTCGTTGCGAAGGTTATCTAGGACCAATGTTATGGTAAGACCCAAGCCTTGGACGTTTTCACTGAATACTGACCTCGAAAGCGTTGGGTGGGTGGACCATGGACATACAATTGCGAGTTAAAGATAGTAGGAGTACTCTGTATGTCCAGGCTATAGCTTGAGGGTTTGAGCAGGAGATTTCCCAAGCCGAACAAAAATACACCCGTCAGAGCCGCGCATATCGTCCTAGAGACGGCTTTTTCCCTTTGGTAAAGAACATGGGAATATTGGAATGGATTCTCAGGATGATCGTATGTGTCCTATCTCGGGCTCTCTCCTAGCAAGCACTCGTCTGACCGTCTGCTCGGTTCATGCAAGTGTATGAGAGAGAGAATTGTTTATGTACGGCAGTAAACAACTAAAACTGTCAGGGCTCGGTGTGCGCCCTGCAGGCTGTGCCGGGGATATTATACCGAGTTATAGGTTGTAGGCAATAAGGAGGTCCGCGCTTGGCAATGGCCTGGAGGATACCCAATCATAATATTTGTACGCGGATCGTGCTAGTGGACATCATGCGGCAATTAAAACTGCTATTTTGGGCGTCAACTACTTTGCGCTCATCTTCAGGTATTTTCGACACGGACCAATTCCCCCGTTTTAACATCACCCCAGAGTCTTGACAGACTCGTATTCAAGCTTCTTCCAAAACAGTTCATCCACTCAGTCATCCAATACAATGACCCGCAGGAAACGGATCAAAGAAGTATAGTGAGCAATGTTATTCCAGAATACGCTTTGGCACGCGTTTAAGCATCGAATACTTGCTCAAACTTCACCAACAACTATTTAAACGATCGGACAGAACTTATACTCCGTGTCCGAACTGCGTGCGCGAGAGTCGCATAAATTGATCATCGACTACTTACACCAGATATCTAAAACCAACGGGGTGTAAAAGCTTGTTTATATCCTTCGCATTCCGCTCGTCCCTCTCGATCTGTTCATTCACTCGCCTCAAATACAGGTACATCACACCAAACATTGTTGTCGACACCCCAAGTGCAGCGAGGCAGATGGCATAAGAATAACGATACGTAGGTCCCCAGTTAATCGGCCAGACGAATCTATAAGACGTGTCAAATTGCAGATAATCGACGAGAGTGAGAGATCAATGGGACTAACGCTCCGATGATATTTCCGGTCTGCGACAGTCCATTGATCAAAGCGATTGCAACAGCTCGCTTGGCAGGTTCTCTGGCGAATACATTGTTGATCCATCCCCAGATCACCATATATGCAGCAGAGATTTGAGCCATGAGGAAACTGCACGTCTCTGAGTACAAGAGGCAATGCTTTATGTGCAATGATTCTACTTACACCGAAGTATAGCGCGCAGCCGTGTTCATTGTGCAGATGGATATGATGAAACCAACGGCAGCGAGTGCACTTGAAGCAACAATGAACATGTAACGCTTTTGCGTCTTATCAGAGTACCTGATCGTTCATGAGATGTTATTCAAGATAGAGACCGTTCACTGACCTTGAGATAACAAATGCAACTATCGTGGAGAATACCCACGGAGGAGCGCAGAGCAGCAAGGTGTTCGTTGTGTCATATCCAAGAGTCGCGACAATCGTCGGGAAGTAAATGACGAATGACAGCTCCACAAACTGGATAATGAGTGCGACCGAAAACCACCACACCTTCCAGTCGCACACAGCATCCCGCAGTCCTTGCATGGTCGTCCGTTTCCCAAGTTCGTCAGTGCCATCTTCTGCAAGGCGAGAAATAGCAAGTGCTCTTTCCTCTGGTGTAAGCCATTTGGTATTGTGTGGGAAATCAGGAAGAATGAAAAAGGCACAAATCGCGACTAGAATGGTGGTACCGCCCTCGATGTAAAATAACCATCTATAGATAATTCAGCTTCAGCGAGTATCAAAGACGAACGTTTCTTGCCTCCACGCAGCTTGTCCAAGTTTTCCCTGCATGCCTGTAAGTATACCTGATGCAAACACGGATCCGAACCCAGAGGCGAGAACGGATCCGCAAGTAACGAGAGTCGTTCTTACAGCGAGCTCATCTCGCTTGTACCATCCAGATATTAGATACAGAACGCCAGGATAAAAGGGGGCTTCGACGAAGCCGAGAAAGAAACGGGCCAGAAGAATACCCGTATAACTTGAGTCGAACCATCAGACACTACAATGATGAAACCCGAGGATACGCACTTCTTTGTGATCCCTAGACACGGTCAGCATTCATATCCATGAACGGCCGGTGTCAACAAACCTGTTAATGTTGATACTAGACCCCAGATCACCATACTACCTGGGATGAGTATGGATGGTTTCTCTAGCCAGTGCATAACCATATTCCTGAAAGAAAGAGAAAAGTTACATTGACCTAACCCTCGATAATTGACACAACTCACGCTGGCACTTGCATCAGAATGTATCCCACATAAAGGATGGATAAGATAGTAGCATATTGATTCCCCTGCAGGTGCAGGTCTTGCTCAAAAGTTCCCAATCGTGCACTACTACGGACAACATGAGACGCCATATAAAGTGAGTATGAAGACATGCGACTTACCTAGCATTCGCTCTGTCGACCTACCCATGGTATGCAGTAAGTACGAGGTGACATGCCAATAGAATTTCGGCGATAGACTCACAAAGTTCAGTGCATACAAAACAATGATTAAAGACATACGTAAATCGAGCTTCCTCAGCAATCTTCTCTCGAGATCATTGCGGGCTTGGCTGGGTACGCCAGAGGAAAAGTCATTGTGCGTGTACTCGGCCACTTTTGCATGGCTGAGAGTAGTCATTGTTCAGAAAACGAAATCACAACAGGAAGAGTTGGTAACTCTCTTCTTGGTGACACTAGGTAAGAAGAATGGTATGAATCTTGCAGCCACGACGGAGCCGTCTGAAAAGTTGCTTAAATATTGACGGGGTACTGCATTGGACAAATTGAGGCTGGGCCGCCGCTGCTACACTTCAACTTTACCTGGCGATACGTGGCAGCGGAGGGCAGCGGAGCTCAGTGGAGGATCTCGCGACAAGATTGATCGCAAAACCTGGCACAACCCCATTGGGGGATAGATATTAATGACACCTTCGCTGCGCGTGACGAAACTCCGTACCTTTGAAATGATGTTGACAAGGTGATTAGGAACGGGTGACGATGTCGACTCAAGTGACTAGCTCTCTTTAGTCCAGTATCACTGACGATTGATCATCAGCTGCGGCTCGCGCGGGACTTGATTCAGAGTAGCTTCTCCAAGCAAAGTCTATTCCATAGTCGGGTTTGCAGTAGGTATCATGGGGCGCAGAGTCACCGTTTTAGCATACCGGGGTCACGGACAGCACCTTATTACTAGTTTGAAACATTCGATTCGACAGGACGTGTCTGACCTTATTCCATATAATCAAAGTCAAGTACGAAGATATGTCATGTGCAAGTTTGTTTGCTGTCTTCCTGGTTCGGCGCCGTGAGCGTGAGCTGTCACATAAAAGCTCGCTGCTGGAGATCGTCGGAGACCAAGGCTACTATATGTAGAGTCATCATTCAGATCAGTCACCTGAATGGCTTTTAAAAGGATAGTTCAATGATGATGGGAATTTGCAATTGAACCGGCAAGGTACATCGTCACGCATCCAACGAAATCGCGTGACTGTCACACAAAATGGAAGGTAAATTGTGACATTACGGTAAAATATAAAAGATGTTTCCAAAATTTTCAGCACTGAGTACGTATTTGCTGCATGGCATCTGCACTTTCCACGACCAAAATTCTCTTCATCGCCATCAGCCGTGAGCGCTTGCTGATAGTAGCAGCTGGTAGTTCGAAGCTATTTCGGAGGTGTCACAGGTCACACCCGGATCTAAGTGCGTATCATGCATGCGTTGCTGTCTGAACTAAAATGAGATTCTATAGGCTTCTGACGTCAGTTGCAATACCTACAAAAAATCATGAACAATTGTCGTTTGAATTCATCAACATAGCTAGCTATAGATGTTGGGAGGAGAGGGAAAGACAGAGCAGTGCTGACGTGATGAACGCAATAGCTACCGAGCCGCCGGTTATGTGTGCCTGTCCTGAGGTTCTATGAATTTTGCCAAGGACAGCCATTGACGTTGAAAGAATCCAAATGCACAGCCAATCATTGCTACTACAAGTGTTGAACTGCGGCCTGCGCATCGGCAGACACGTAAGCTCACTTGAGGCTTCAAAGCGTCACTGACAGTCATCTAACCTCTCTGAACTTCCTATCATGTCTCTGATCCAAGTCTGCGTACTGGGTTCGTTCTCTTTCGCACTCTGCAAGGCCCTCGCATTCCTACTACAACGAACCCACGGCATCGACCTCGATGGACCCAACAGAGGGAATTGGTTGATAGGTACGTTCTGAGATCAGTCCTGATTGACATTCGACTACCCCGTCTGACATGTACATAGGCAATATCATGTCCCTCTTTGAAGGTGGTGTTGACTATTGCGTGCATATTGCAGAGAAATATGGTGGAGCAGTGAGGCTCTATGGGCCGCTAGGCGTGAGTCGTCCATTTGACTAGTGCACATCACCTTCCACGCCCTTGCGTCGTATAGGAGATCGTATATATGTCTGACCCACGCGCATTGTATCACATTGTCGTCAAAGACCAGCACATCTTTGAAGAACCCAACCAATTCATCATGTCAGTATTCTCTTACTTTCTTATACTGAATTGACTCGGTACTATCAAGGTCAAACAAACTTGTTTTTGGTGAAGGCCTGATATCCACCATCGGTAAGGTACATCTCTCAAAAATCTGTTCTTCTTTTAACACTGTGTATCACCAGGAGAGCAACATCGTCGGCAACGCAAACTTCTCAACCCTGTCTTCTCAACGTCAAACATGCGACGACTCCTCCCCACACTACACCCCATCTCCGACAGACTCACATCTATCCTCGTGTCCAAACTTCCCGCTGACGGATGTACGTCCTACGATCTCGCACTCTGCACATAATCTCCATTGATAGTCCGTGCAGCTCACAAAGAGATCGACGTCCTTCCATGGTTATCCCGTTGCGCTCTTGACGGTGTCTGTCAAGGTATCCTTGGGTACCCCTCCAACACCCTTTCAGCAGCAGAAAATGACTCGTACGCGGAAGCATTGCGGAAGATCGGGTATGTCTGGTCATTTTGGTGCCTCAACTCAAATGTACAATAATGCATTGCAGCCCCTTGATCGGAAAGCTCATGAAGGTACGGTCGATTACGGCGTTTGTAATGCAAAACTGCTCCCCATATTGGGCGAGGAAAGTGCTTGATTTGATCACGGTGCCCTGGCTCCCAACGCAGTTTATGGCAGACATACGGGAGATGCGACGCATTGTGGAAACAATGGATAGTGCCAGTCGAAAGGCGTTTTTGGAGAGAAAGGCAGCCATGGAAGCGGAAGAAACACCGGACCTTATTGACACTGCGTGTAGAGACAACGATTCGATGACGTCGATGATGGATATCATGCGTGAGTTCCATGGGTAATCCAGAACATCCTCGCTCAAGTATAATGCACAGTAAAGGCCAATGCAGTGTCATCCAACACAGAACGGCTTACGGATGCTGAGTTGTTGGGACAAATGAAGTAGGTCTTAACGTTCTTCCGCGTGTTGAAGACATCGATCAATATCGTTGCAGCGTCATGGTATTTGCCGGCCTCGATACGACCACCTCTGCGCTTGCCCGCTGCATCTATCTGCTTGCGCAACACTCCGGCGCTCAAGCGAGACTCAGGAGCGAAATCCGCGACGCCACCAAGATACTTGAAGAAGACGGTGACATGTCATCCGCAGAATTGCCTTTTGATGTCCTTATGAGCCTACCTTTCCTCGACAGTATCGTCAAAGAGACTCTTCGTCTCTATCCGTCTCTTCCAGTCATGGCTCGAGCGTACGTCCCCCTCCCTCCCCTCCCATAAAGTTATGCATGACGCACCACAGAACGTCCAAAGCAATAACCATCCCTTTGCAATTCCCCGCACGTTCCCGGTCGGGTGGATACACGTCCGCCGTCGCGATCCCGGAGGGCACCGTTACAATCATCTCCATCCTCGCTGCGAATCGCCACCAAGGGTTGTGGGGTGCTGACGCAAATGAGTGGCGTCCTGAGCGGTGGCTTTCATCCCCTCTTACTGCTCCCTCACAAGCACAAGAGGCAAAATGTTCATTGGATGGGGAAGATGCTGTATCCACGTCGAGATCTGCGCCTGTTATGGGCGTCAAGGATGGTGTGCGGTTTCCTGGTGTATACTCCAACATGTGAGTACTTATAGCGCTTTCCCATTAAAGCTTATAAGCTTAAATGTACATAGGATGACGTTCCTCGGCGGTAGCCGCTCCTGCATGTCAGTTTTCGATCCATCTCATGACATACCCCATTAATCAAATTCCACTTTTAACAGCGGGTTCAAATTCGCAGAAATGGAATTAAGTGTGTCCATACCTTCGTGTGCCGGTGTTAAAAACTAATGCTCCTGACCAGAACAAGTTATCGCAACGCTCGTGCTGCGTTTGCACTTCTCGCTCCCGACGGAACCGAATACACAAGGTCACGTGAAGGAGATTCAATGGAAGCTACGAGCATTTCATATTCCTGTGGTGAAGCCTCCCGCTGGGGATGGCGTAACGCCACAGGTGCCGCTGAATGTGCGGCTGGTGAAGAAGGATGATTTTATTTGGAACGCTGTTGTATGATATTGCGATGCCTACGCACCTATTGCTTATCCCGCGGACTCTTCCCCGCAATGTAATTTTGTAACGCTTCGCTGTCAACTATGATGTTCACGTGAACAATTTCTTTTCTTCAATTTCTATCATACATCTCGTCATAGTATACTCGGCTGTCGATCGTATAGGTCGACTGCATAAAATCATGCTATCCCACTCCGCTACACAGTAGTTTCGCCTATAAGTACTTGATGCGAGAGTCCCATGGATCGTTGACTACACCAGATATCTAAAACCGACAGGGTCCGGAAGGTCGTTGATATTCTTGACATCCTGCTCGTTCCTTTCAATCTGCGCATTCACCCACTTCAAATGCAAATGCATGACACCAATCATGGCCGTCGCCACCCCAAGCGTTGCGATGCAGATGGCGTACGAATAACGATACGTCGGGCCCCAGTTGAGAGGCCAGAGGAACCTATGTGAGAGAGAGATTGTAGATACTCAGCGAGAGCAGTAGAACGACGGGACTAACGGTCCAGCGATGCTCCCCACCGAAGACAGTCCACTGATCACAGCGATAGCGACAGCTCGCTTTGCAGGTTCTCTGACAAAAGTGTTCTTTATCCATGCCCAGAAAACCATTTGTCCGCCGGCGTTTTGAGTCATCAGGAACCTGCACGTCTTTGAGTACGCAAGGCATCGTTCTATAGGCGATGATACCGCTTACAGGGAAGTATAGCGCGCGGCCGTGTTCATCGTACAGAAGGATATGATGAATCCGACGGCAGTCAATGCATTGGATGCAAGGATAAACATGGCACGCTTTTGCGTACGGTCGGAGTACCTGATCGTCCATGAGAAGCGATTCGAGATAATTAAAAATAGCTTACCTTGAAAAAACAAAAGCGCCAATCGTGGCGAGCACTGATGGAGGAACAACCAGCAGCAAAGTCACCGTCATATCATATCCCATGCTCGCGACGAGTGTCGGGAAATAAAAGCCAAATGACAGCGCGATACGTTCGATGGTGAGCAAGATTGTAAACCACCATACCTTCCAGTCGCACAGAGCATCCCGCAGTCCTTGTATGGACGTCCGTTTCCCAGGCCCGTCCATTCTTCCATAGCCATCGTCTGCAAGGCGAGAGATAGCGAGCGATCTTTCCTCCGGAGTGAGCCATTTGGTGTTGTGAGGGAAACTAGGGAGTATGAACATCGCACAGATCGCGACTATGATGGTGATGCCACCTTCGAGGTAAAACAACCACCTGCAGATATGTCAGCTTCAGAAATGACGTGTACGAACGTATCTTGCCTCCATCCGGCTTGACCCAGGTTTCCCTGCATGCCTGTAAGTACACCAGATGCAAACAGGGATCCGAACGCAGTGCTAAGCACGCTTCCAAAACTAACGAGTGTCACTCTCACAGCGAGTTCGTCTCGCTTATACCATCCTGATATAAGAAATATGATGCCAGGGAAGAAAGGTGCTTCGGCGAAACCAAGGAGTAAACGGGCGAGAAGGGCCTGGGTATAACTTGTGCCGAACGATCAGACGCCACAATGATGAACAATGAGAATGCGTACTTCTGTGTGAGCCCTGGGTACGGTTAGCATTCATGGTCATGAGTGGCCGGTGTCGACAAACCTGTTAATGTTGATATTATACCCCATATCACCATACTCCATGGAATCAGGATGGCAGGTCTCTCTAGCCAGTGCAGAAACATGTTCCTGAAAGAAAGTCACAATAAGATTTCCCTCAACGAAGGATGCAACTTACGCTGGCACTTGCATGATAATGAAACCCACATAGATTATAGACAAGAGCGTCGCGTATTGATTCCCCTGCAGGTGCAGGTCTTCCTCAAAACCTGCCAACCGTGCGCTACTGTGGACAACATGAGAAACATATAAAACGAGTATGAGGATGCGTAACATACGTGATATTCCCTCTGTCGATCTAACCAATGGTAAGCACCAAGTAATACAGAGCTCGGACTCACATTGTTCATGATATACAAAAGCACGATAATGGACATACGTTGATCGAGCTTCCTCACTAATCTCTTCTCGAGATCATCGCGGGAATGGCTGGATAAACCAGACGAAGCATCAGTCGTTTCCAATTTCTCGTCAGCGAGAGACATCGTTCAAAAGAAAAAAAAGCACAGCAAGAAGGGTCGACAAGGCTCTTCTTCGCGACGTGTAGGTGAGAAACGAAGATCAATGACGATGCAGAATCCACTGGAGCGAGGAGTTGATTTGAATCGTCTGGTACAGTCATCGATTAAATATTGACTGGCACCCAATGAGGTACCTTGAGCAATTTGATGCTTGGGTCCGTGTCTATTGTAAGCATTGATCATGTGCGAGGCATGCAAGAGTCAGCCGACAGCGTTATGATAGGACAGTCTCACATAGGGAGGAATGAAGTTGATGGTAGAACCTGGCATAACGGTATTGGGTAGTGTAGATCAGTAATCTACGCCGGGCATCCCTGAGGCCTTAATCTGACACGCTCCCAGATGTGAATATTCCCAAACTGAGTAACAGTTCCAGGAAGTATTATTTGCCTTTGACTTATCATGCAGGGGGCATCGGCTTCTGTTGGCTTCTCAGAAACCCGTCATGATCCAGGTGCGGGCGGGTATTGGTGTCATCTTTGGCTTTACGTCAATGGGCATATTTTTAAGTCGGAACGACGTACCAAGGATAGATTCACTGCTGTCACGCTACCTACTCACCCCAATTCGACAAAGAACTTTGTGGAGCTGCCATGTGACAGCGATGCTTCGCGCCCGATTAGCATGCTATGCAGATGTGGAGTGTTCTCTGTGGCATAAAAAGTTATCCAGGCCTTTTCGCATTGGAATATTTAAACACACAGGATGCGCTAGGATTTGCGGGAAGTCTTCAGAAGTCAGTAGTGCGTGAGTGGAGCTGGTTAATCAAGAAGACGGCCACAAACCAGTGTCAATAGAGCGGAGGTCGTGAGTAATGTATATTGAGAGCCGGCCGTGGACGCCATGGCGCGTTTGAGTTGGTGTGTTTTGTTTGCGGGAGATGTGGCAAATTGAATGAGGTTTTGGAGTTTGTGTGGAGAAGGCTCGAGCGGATGAGTTCTTAGGCCTACGAAGGTACCTGTGTCTCGTATTTGTGCCTATCGATCATTGATTCATGACCACGACCACGGCTACCATTCGTCACCAGGACCCAAATCTAACAAATCAAGTCCTCGTGACTCCCACATGGTACAATGCACCACATAAAACAAAAGTTGATATCGAGGGAAAATCGTGCTGCCACACAGGACTAAAAATTCAGCTAATTTCTGTGAATGTCCCATTCAATAAGCAAGGAAGACGCTGCATTGCAGCAACAAGATGATCTACCCCAGTCCTGTGTGTACTGAAAGGGGAAGGGGACCGATATCGTGTAGTGGCAGCCACAAAAGAACGTCGTCCTGTTCCTATGTGCACCCATGAAATGGGGAGACGATGGGGGACTCACATCTTGATAATAGTACACCAAGAGACCACGGCGAGGGGGTGAAGAGGTAGGGAGAGGGTGAGAATGACGAACATCCGCGTGGACACGAGTACACCTAGTAATCGTGCCGATGAGGATGACCGTAGCATTTGCGCAAAGAGCATCCAACGGCAACCGCGTGAACCATCGTGACCGAGACCGCGCCACTGAACAAGGTTGTTATTATTTATTTGTACAGTCCATTTATCTCTTGGCATCGACATGACTGACATTGCGGAAGCGGAGGTAAGTTGTGTCTTGGGATTTGTCGGCAAGCTAAAAGTTTCAAAGAACATCTATACCAGAGCAGCGAAATATGAACTAGCAAAAGACTGGAACAACGCTTTCAAGCTTTATTTACAAGCAGTGGACGCATTTCTACGCATTAGCCGTACTACTGCGGATCCAAAATACCGGAACAACGCTGCCAAGGCATTAGATCGTGCTGGAAAGATCAAGCAATTCAAAAAGCTAACTCCCTTATCAACCGACCACTTTTCACATCGTAAGTAATCAAATAATATACTAAACCGTACCCTCTAATCCACATCAGAACCATCAATTCTCAAAAAGTCATCCGTCATAAACAACATTCAAATCCCCCTGGCAGCATCATCCCCATCCGATTCATATACATCTCCATTCAATGACCCAGACGGTCAACCATCACTCCCAACCCCTGAATATACATGGAGCCGTCCAAACTACCCAAATTCATCACTCCCACTCCTACCATCAGACATCATCCAGAACATAGTAAACGACTGCTCAGTATGCGCTTCCATCGCAGTATGCATACAACACAACACACGATTCAAATCAAACGTATGTCTCACAATTCCCCCTTCCACTCACTAACTTTCTCCAGTTACTCCTTTCCTCCTTGTCTTCTTCTAATGACGGAAGATACGAATTAAAAGTCCTCGTCAATGGTGATTTCCGACGCGTGAGTCCCTATCCTCTCACTTATACATCATTCTAAAGTCTGCTATAGATAGGTTCGTACTAACAAACCGTCAGAGCATACGCTTAGTTCAAACAGTCATCGATGACCGTCTCCCCTTTGACTCCAACAATAAACTCGTTGGAATATCAACGGGCCCAAAGAATAACTTATGGCCTTCATTTATCGAAAAAGCAGTCTGTACTTCTCTCCTCGTCTCCATCATGACATTCTCACCCGCAATAGTACATGAAACTCATGGGCGGATACGACTTTCTCGGCTCGTAAGTCACCCCTTCCCCTTCGTATAGTACTGACTTGGATACCTCAAAGAAACTCTGCCATAGACCTCCAGTAAGTCCCCCCACCCTACCTCACCCACCTCCTCACGCCCCACAGTGTCCTTACAGGCTGGATCCCAGAACACCTCGATCTCCAAAGGTATTTTCATTCACCTCCAACAATTTCCTCGCTGACAACCAAAAGCGCATCCTTTGAACGCGAACGCACATGGTCTCGCATCATGATTGCGTTCCCGCGAGGTACACCCCTTCCATCCACTCAACGACAAATACTCACACCTATTTTAGGGGACTGTATGATGACAGTCGGAACAAACGATAAAACGCCGCTCAATTACCATATACACAGCGTCAAGCTTCTTCCTTCCCATGATTATGCTATCACAGGTAGATACCCCCTCCCACAAATAAAGTTCGATATTCACTTGTACAGATATCAAAGAAACGAACGATGAGCGCTGGGTCACGCTTCTTGATTCGAGGTTATGTACTCCGGAGTGCGGCCAGTGCAGCGGTAGTGGGAGCTGTCCCAGTAAGTCCCCTCTCCCTTTCTACCCGTAGATGTAACAGATGTAACAGGGGTTCTCAATATGCGCTGGGATGATATATGCGCAACGTTCGAGGGGTTGTATATCAGCTGGAACCCGAGTCTGTTTGGGAGTTGTGTCACGTTTCATGGGTGCGTCTTCAATTTCACACGTGTGCCATACTCCAACCAATCCACAGATCATGGCAGCCTGAAAATGCGGAAAATCTTTCACAAGGTATGTCTGCTCTCAACTTACTTTGTACAGCGTTAACGCGCTTCGGATACAGCTTCTACTCACCACCTCCGACTAAACTATCAAAAAACTAAGGACTCCGCGCATCACTCACACATAAACGAAATCAACAAGAACGGAAAGGACTCGACAGAGACAGAAATATGGATACTCTTAACGCGTCACCTCTGCGACACCCGCCGCACAAATGAATACATCGCGATTAATGTTCAAGAGGATGATACGGTTTTGGGAGATTCAGAACATGTTGCACTCAAGGTGCGTTACTTCCTCTCCTTGGTATATCAGATTGATACAATAGGCGCACTGCAACGCACAGAGCAACTACACAAACAGCACACACCTCCTCTCACGCGTTAAAACCTCCCAATTCCAAACGCAGAATTCAGGCTCGCTCTCCATATTAGCCTGCTACGACGGTCAATTCGACCAAGTCGGATTCACCGTCACTGCGTATGCTTATTCGTCGGGTGTGATGGTGTCTTGGGATACGAGGGTTCCGCCCACGAGGTATATGCAGAAGGTACCCTTCTCATTCGTTCCACTTGATCAACAATGCTGATGGATGCCAGATCGACGGCGTGTGGACTAATAAAACGGCTGGGGGTAATTGCACGCATCCGACGTATATGGTGAATCCGCAATATCACCTGCGGGTGCACAATGCCAGTACGAGTATCGACAAACGGCCGAGCACAAGTACAAGTACAAGTGCTGACAAGCGCAACAAGACACAAGTCATACTCACCACGCAGAGCACTAGGGATATCTCGCTGAACGTCACAGCCGTGTGGTCGCAAGGCGAGCGTATATCAGAACTAAGTCAGAAAGAAGTGGTGGCTCATTCTGGGCCTTATACATATGGGCATGCGCGTGTCGCTGCTCATCTTGCTCGTACGTCGACCTTTTAACTGGAGGGAAACGCGGCTTATTTTTTTCATCTCGCGAAGCTGGCGACTACACAGTTATATTATCAACTTACGAACCGGACCAGATGGGAAAATTCACGCTCAAGGTAGAGAGTCCCTCTCGCTTTGATATAAAGGCGATACCACAGGAGGATGCGGGGATGTATGTCAAGACCGTCCGTGGGGAATGGTACGTCCAATCAATTTCAAATTTCACCCTTAAACAAATGTTGACATTTTTAGGGACTCGACGACTGCTGTCGGAGGACTGAGTCAACATCGATATCACCGCAATCCAGTGTACCAAGTAACCATCCCATGCGCTTCTGAATTCGGGTGCGTTCCTCCACTCCAAAGTCCGAATGCCCTATTTACACCTCTACAGTGCCCGTCTTCAACTCCTTTCCCGCGTCCCAGGTGTATCCACCAACCTCTCACTCTTCCCCTCCTCAAACCTCCAACGATGCACCGCTTCCTCAGGGCCCTACTCCGATGCGCTTTCGGGTGTTGATATTCCCAAGAGGAGTATAAGCCCTGGGAAATATTATCTCGTGCCTTCGACGTACCATGCTGGGGTGCATGCTCAGTTTCGGATTGTTGTTTATAGTGGTGTTTCGGGGACCGAGGTCGTTCTGCGTTCGTGACTTGGTGGACGGGGAAAGGAACTTTGGAAGAATTTCTTGAGAGTGGTACGCAAGAGTTGGCTTGTGGACAACTCGTTATAATCTAGTCTTGATGTCGTCTTCAACTTTATTTATTCACAAGTCACCTTATTGATGGGACGTGTTTAACAACGAATTATTATGACAACTGTAATAAAGCAACGATCGAACGTCCGCGTCACCGCTTGTAGCCATTGTTCGCCCCTTTAAGGCTGCATCAGTGCTACCATCTCGCCACGCGCGCATCTTTAGTTGCTACAATCTGTAAATGTTCGTACTTGCACTCGATGAGTCTATGCATTCAACTTACGTCACGCAGGGACAAGTCGGCCAGGGTTAATTTCTATGCCGTGCTGGGGAACGAACTTTGCTACATTTCAGTATCTGCAAACAGTAGAATCGCGCATATCTTCGAATACCTCAAGTCCCGCTATCTCGAAACTCATCAAGTCCTGAAGAGGATCTCGTATAAGCAATGCAAGTTCTACAAATTCAAGAACCCTGTAATAATCCTCGACGACGTCTTGGACGACGCCGACATCGTCCAACAATGTCTGGATGAGCAAAATTGGACAGAAGTGTTACCGGATAGATCTTTGAAAGTACTGGGATCAGAACTAAGAAACGATCATGTCTACTTGGTGATCAAGCTTCCGCAACTTGAAGGTGCATCACCGCTTCGTCTGTTAATAATTGACATTCTCATCCTCTGCTTCAGAGGAGGCCATTCAAAATGTGCTTAAGAAAGATGAAGAGCTTTTTCGTCACTTGCAAGTCACTGTAGCAAAGCTGCAGTCATGGACCGCGCGAGACGTTGAACATAACTTGGACGGTGGCACCTGGCTGACTGATAGCCAAGGACGGCCAGATTCAATCGCTGACATAGAGGATCGACTGGCTCGAGCGCGTACATACGCTGTACCAAACAACGACCCGCCATCTTATGCGGACTCTCCAAGGTTGTTATCAGGTTCAACCCGGTCGATCACCCCGATCACACCCGCTAGATTCATCCCCTTCCCGGATGCGACAAGTGACCTGGAAAATGCCTCCAGTTACAAGGCACTTTTTGATAACATATTTTTACCCGCTGTACCCACTGAGGACCACCCCGTCGATGTGAAGGATACCCGAGAATTCGCGGCCTTCTTCAGCGTCCTCCGTTCTTACCACCAAGACTGTGCTCTTCTGGTGAACGACTCCTCCTCCTCCCAGAAGGCTAGCAATTTCACTGTGCATTTTATATCGCCGCCTTTCTTTTCCCATCGTAGTGGACATTTTAAATACAGGGAGTAAGTGGGATTAATTCGTTGTTACAGCCCAACTGACCATCACGAATTTCTCAGGCAGACGCCTTGGGAATTTCCCATCTTTCTGAATACCAGGGATAATCGCAACGCCTGGTGCAAGTTCTCCCCAGCCAGCGATTGCATGGTTTCGTCTACGTCATTTCTTTGCCCCTTCATGATCTGTCAAGTGGTTTCACAGAGAAGCGAGTCCGATCGATTCCGCATGCTAGTTCAAGGCATCGCTCTTGCGCGCCTAGGACAATGTTTCATGTCAAGAGGAGAGAAATTCTTCGTTGTGGCAATTTATCTCCGTGAAACTTTGACTGCCGAAAGATATATCGTTACCCAGCCTGGTGCAGACAGAAAGGTCTGTCGCTCTGTTTGTAGTCGCTTTTTTTTTTCTCAAACGGAGACCAGGTATTCATTGTCCAGAAAAATTTCGACCTTACAAAGGCCGATGAGGCAGTCGCATTCCTTCGTGAGATGTACAACCTCGCGCAGGAGCTAGACGATTTGGCAGGCAAAATTGATCCAAAGAACAAGACACGCCTTAACGACATCAAGGTTGCCGCTTTCGAGGTGATTTCTCTTACGTCACAAGCTCAGCACAACAAAACACCGAGAACGACATTGGCCTCCGTCTTCGAAGAAAATCGTGAAGCCAGTGGCGTTCAGGATGATCTCGGCGTCTTTGATGCTGATGACATTCAAGGAATTTTGAAAAAGATGGATTACCAGATCTTGTTCATTGTATTTGGGGTGCGTACCACTGTAATCTACAATATAGTAACACTGACAATACATCTTACAGCATCCGTTCCTCGCCTTGGTGTCAAATATCGAGGATGATTCTCAACAAGGATATCTCAAATTCGTGAAAGAGGGGCAAAAGGAGATCGAGATCTTGCGATACCTCACGGGAATTGAATCTCCTTCAAACCACACCATCTCGCCAGTCCAAATCTGGTCGGTGCAAGGGGGTGACGTCATATCAATGCCTATGGCTGGCAGCCACCTTACCAGTCTATCCAACGCCGGTGCGCATCTATGGCCTGTGGCCGAGCAGCTGTTCGAAGCTGTTGACTTCATGCATCAGCATGGCGTGGCGCACCTGGATCTGAAGCCTCCAAATATCCTCCTCCCCGCCGACGGCGGCCGCCTGTCTATCATCGACTTCAACAGATCCGTACGCGTCAAAGGCACTGAAACAATGTTCCGCGGTATCGTTGGTACCATCGGATATCTTGCGCCTGAAGTCGCGGCTGGTCAAGGCCTCTACAGCGCAATCCGCGCGGACTTGTGGTCCTGTGGAAAGACGTTGGACGAGCTGTGCTCCATGTGTAGTCCATCCAGGGATCGCAACGCGCTACTTGAAATAGCTCGAGAGCTCATGAATGAAGACCCGAGACAGCGACCGATGATGTCAGATGTCTTGAAGAGGCTGGCGTATTACAAGGTTGATGCCAATACAAGGACCAGGTTACTTCAGGTAATGTGCTCCTGGCTCCATTCTTGGCGTGCATGCGGCACTGTATGCGAGCATTCGTTCAATTATTCCGAGCAGTTTCTCATCTGTCGCACCACCGGTATAACGGTAAGGACTGCAAGGGGAACCAAGGCCAACCTTTATAGCGGGAGGCTGGGGCTTTCTTTATCCAAGACTGACTACGATACAAGCGCAGGACTACTACAGGTCAGGACTTCTGCTACTGCACCAGGACCCCTGGCACCCCTGACGACCTGAGACCGCCCTGGTAACACCGGAAGTGCACGCTTGAGCTCAACCCGCTTGTATACTACGTTTACCTCAAAGTGAGCAGAAGATAATTGGACAGTCGACTCGATAGCCCAAGCGCCCTGCGTGCTAGTTATACCCTTGTGTAGAAGTAGGAATGTCGGTCGTACCGCAATAGCAAATGAAACGAATCAATGATCAATCTAACAAGACATTCTGAGGGTGATGCCTCTCGGCAGGATGCTAATCATCAATCTCTGAATCATCTTCGATATGCTGGGTATGTCTCCTTAGCACATTTGCTGTCTGCTTCTCCTAGTGACCAATGGCATACAGACATTGTTCTCTTCTCCCTTATACATGCTACATTCTATCATGTAAACAGCTGCTCGTGACTCTCCCCCATTATGCGGGGGAGGTGTACATCGAGGGAAGGTCGATAAACTCGTGGATGTATGTCAAAAACGTGTGTAAGAAGTAGTCCGCCTTTCATCAGTCAATCCGATTTCTGCGTGAAATAATCTCGTGGATTCGACGACTGCTGTTACGGGACCCAGTCAAAACCGGTGTCGGTGCAATCCAGTCTGTGAAGTAACCATTCTATGCGCTTTGAATTGAGGTATGCCCCACCTCCTCCCATCGCCCCAAATTTAAAACAAGTACTGATCACCTCATTAATAACGTAACGCCCGTCTCCAACTCTTCGCATGCGCCCCAGGCGTATCCACCAACCCTCCCCTCTTTCCCTCCTCGAGCGCAAATATGCGATTATGCATTGCTTCCTCGGGGCCTTACTCCAAGGCGCTTTCAGGTGTTGATATTCCCAAGGGTATAATCCCTGGAAGTATTATCTCGTGCCTTCGGCATATCATGCTGGGGAGCCTGGGGTGCATGCTCAGTTTCTGATTGTTGTTTATGGTATCGGTTTTTTGCGTTTATGACTCATTGGACGATGGGTTTGGCACGGCGGATGGGTAAAGAGATTTTTGATGTGGGGGGAGAAATTCGGGGGGCGAGAGGAGGAATTCGTTGACGCGTTTGAGAGTGGTGCGCGAAGGGTTGGCTTGTGGACAACTTGTTATTATCCAGTGCAAACGGGTTTTGATGTCGTCTTTGGCTTTATATAATCAAATGCAAGCCCATCGTCAATCAACAATTTCTTCGGGGGGTAGTTGGCAGGACGTACAAAGGACACCCTCCCGTTCGTACTCAAACTCGCCGCAAAATTCGCCTGAATCGTCGAAGAACTTTGTGAGAGTTGCTATGGCGACGCCGATACTCGTGTCAGTGCCTGTTTCGCAGGCAATGCAGACGCGGCGCGTATTCTGGAGGTGGAGAAAGATAAAGGGCATCACTTGTGGGAGGACGGTGTGTAGGAAGTGATGCTGGCCTTTTTTGCCTTGAGGCGTTTGGATGTATAGGACGCATGGATGGTCTTTGAGAGCGGGTGGTGCGTGATCTGCGCTGGTTAGATAGACCACTGCAGACTCGTCCCCGAGAGGGGAGGAAAGGTCGTGAGTGGTGCATATTGAGAGTCTACCGTGAACGTGTTGAATGGGTATGGGATAAAACGATGCGTTAGAATGTGAATCGATGCGTGTGGGGAGTGTATTTGGGGAGGATATGAGGGCTTGAACGAGGGTTGGTAGTTCATTACGGTTTGCGCGGAGGAGGGTCTGTTTGTGTTTCCAGAATTGAGCAGGGGTAAGGCCCTGTCGCGTAAATCGTATCAGAAATAACGGCCGAACTTGACGGAGGATACGTACCATACTCCACAGCTCGTGATCATCACCCGATCCCTGGATATACGCAAAACCTGTGATACGTCTCTCTATACCGTCCAAAACCTGCTTCGAAGCAGATATGCAGATGATAGGGTAGAATCGCCGTTCAGCATCGGTATCAGGAAATTTTGGGAATATAGTGGTGCTGGGCGTTATCCAAATCGGGCGGAGGGGGTATTGCAGTTTCGGGAGTACGTAGAACGAAGTCTACAAATCCACAATTTGAGATACCCAAGACTCGGGGTTAAAAAAGAATAAGACTGACAGCAAGATCATCTGCCCACCCATCTAACTTTTGTTCTATCTGATCATGTTCCTGTGCGCTGACCACCCCAGGTGGAGTGTACAATTTCGTGTTCCAAGCATCCGTGTCCACGTTTAAGTTCGAAGTGGTTTTAAGGACAACTCGATTTATTACTGCACACCAGATTGGAACGGTCTTAGAAAGTGCGTCTGGCATGCGTTTCCCTGCTCTCGTAGAATCCACCAAGAGCAGTCTGGGGCCCACACGTTATACAGTTTGATATCATCGATGTAAGTGGCGCACGAACCCTGCGTGCGCACAAATCAAAGGTAATATGTGTAGATTTGGCCTTCGAAGATTGAAGCTCCAATTTCCGGTGTGTCCGTCGGTGGACTTGAAATATGCGCGTTCGTTTGATGCCTGTAAGAGTATTCGTGAGCTGCAACATGGACTGAGAATAGACTTACGGTGTCAGGGTCTGTGTACCATGCTCCGCATCGCATGTTGGCTTGTGGACACATGAAGTGAGGACGGCAATCGGTAGTGACGGTGACACTCACGGATGAGGGGAAGTCTGGAGTAAGATCGATAGACTTGGTCTACGAAAGCGGCGTCCTCTGCAATGGAATGGATTCGGTTGTAGAGATCTTGCGATTCCTTTCGTAGCTCGTTTAGGGCTAGCGATGCGCCGTCCTTGTGGCCCATGACTAGGACTCTGGACGTTGGAACTTGTGAACCTCTGGGTGATAAAGCGCTGATGTCGCTTTCCATCCAGGAAGGAGCCGGGGTGTGCTAACATGGATACTTACCCCATTTGGTCAAGGCGGTTGATCAATCGATAACGGTCGCTACCGAGAACGCATTACGTTCAACTTGTTGTTCGAGAAGTCCAACATTAACTGCTTGTAACAACTTCAACAAACTTCATAATCCGCTCCCTTTCACAGGGACTGTGACACACCTGCTCACACGGATGGCCTGATAAGTAGGTTTCTTGGTAGCTTCGCCACTCCACTATATTCTTCCTCGGAGCCGGGTACTACTTGGACTACTAGAATGAATCTGAATGATCATCAAAATGTCGTGGTAAATCCACGTCCTCCATTAGACGCTAGAGCTCGACGAGCGGCAGGTATATAATGGGAGTAAAGAGGGATAGGGCTAGCAGGTGAGATATTTTTTCAAAGCATGATTATCATCCGTGAGATTTGTGCTAATCGTGTTGTCGTACATCACATAAACTCGTGCGCATTACTTTGAAGAATATTACGAGGTTACCGATCGACGCAGCCGCCCATATATTGTTGGCGAAAAGAATTATCGCAGGAGCTTTTGACAGACAAAGACAGGATGAAGATGGAGCGTGCAAACTGCAGAGCGCGCAAATGATGTGTGGATGAACTGACCTTTTTGTCGTCTTTGTGGTTGAACAGGGTCTTGCAACACTCGCCATCCTAACATCACCGATTCGCCACGAGACGACACCTCCAACATCGCCCGCTTGACGGCCGCAGCTGTCAGGACACGTCACCTAAGGTTGACGGTCAGCTGGGCATTATTCATACATGTTCTGATCGTCAAACGTTCGGCCCGAAAAAGCTCTGTTGATCGATTGTTCCTACGCAGCGAGGACCAAAATGGAGTGAAAGTCCCTGGGCCCCTCCATCATCTCCATGATGGGCTAAGGTTGACGTGCATGCACATCTAGTATTCTCATTTCCGCTGTTTCCCACACAATCCATCTCCGGTCTTACCTGGATTCACAGAAGCGTATAATGGCACGTCAACATCGTAAGGTTAATCAGCGCTCAATCTTGATATTCTGCACTGCACTTATGGTCAGGAAACACATGGCGAGACACTTCCATTTTTTTTACCAAAGGCGGGACTATATAGGTCTTCTTAGTAAGTATGCATCCCTTCGGCTCCATCAAGATATTGATACATGATAGTCAATATCTTTTTTTTTCATCTTTCAAATGAAGTTACATCCTATCAACCATCCAATCAGATCGAAGACCCGCTTAGGACTCTGAGCTAGGCAGGAGATATCCTTTTTACATCCACAAATCAAAATTTCTCAATCAGCCTGGATCTACGAGTCACCTAAGCCCCTGACCCACCGTTGCAAACTCAAAGCGTTATTTCGGACACGCTCCAGTAGATCAGCGACTAGATGTTTCCTATTTTTTTGCCGTGCGCCAACACATTGCTAAATTCTTTGAAAGGAATTTTCTGAACCGTCACCGTCACTAGCTGGCCTTCAGTGAACTCAGTAGGCCGGACGGACCCGGATCATCCGAAGGAGCCGCCATTGCGAAGCTGACCGTTCTATGAATTACGATAACTGATAAGCCGCACGACAGCCGGTGACCAGCGCCATCCCACACCATCGGATCACGACCAAAGCGCCCAAGGGTCTTATTGTTTCAAACCGTGAGCCCCAAACTTTACCTCTGATAATTTCGTTATATTTACGGGTATGATCCCCTTCCTGTGGATGCAATACGATGCGCCCAGCCACTCTATGTTCTACCAGTGCAATCAAATTACCACATCCACTTGCAGGAAAAAAGTGAATGAGCTCAAAACACCACAGGATACCGTAAAATTTCCATTGTACATACCGCACAAAATTGCAGATTATCATGCGTTCCACAAGCATGACATCTTGAGGCTCAGTCGGACACCTTCCCACCGATCTGGCCATAAAACACATGCTGTATACAGGTGCTTGTCGGGGACCTGCCGCCAGTAACCATTTGCATGCACAAACGCAAAGATGATTCCACATTCGTGGTCAATTTCCTGTGATGTGATGCCCCAAATATCCAACCTGTCATGGCAAATTGAGATCGCCGCACTAGTAGCGTTTGTTCCGTTCGTTCCATCCGTGGCCGCCCGTAATACTTGGATTTAGATGGACCTATAAGGTTTGGTATTCGCATCAGGCCTTGTTTTTTCCGCATACCGCAGGTTCTCCGACTTGACCTGCGTTGGGACAACATCACATAGTGATCCTTTACCGAGATCTGCTAGTCCGGCGCTTCATTAAGGTTTCTTACTTGGCCTTGCTAGCCGCGACGGTTGCTGTCACCCTCGGAAAAATATGTGAGCCAGAATTTTGATAAGCTGCACCTACCGGAAAGCACAGTACGTTGTTCCGCGACCCTTTCACCTCTTTAATTAATATCACCAAGCCAACATCTAGCATGAGATATGAGGAAGTCGTTGAACTTTCCTCAATTCGCTTCTATTGATAGGGTCTTCGGGCTTCTACTTCGATTTGCAGGTGGATCGCCCTTATACTAAGAGATGTGGCCAGATTGGCTTATTACTCGCTCGAATGCGCTCTAGCCTCCGCCAAATACCACTCGGACTATAAAGTAAGCAATCACCAGCACTGGTAGTCACCAACAAAATTTTCACGTTAACCATAGTCTGTTCTCCCTCCGACCACAAGAGCGCATGTCTACCATCTTACCCGTTAGTCTTGGTCGATCATCACACTGGTTCTTTGTCCAACAACTAATGATGGTATGGTATTCCACAGGTCCCACACAATGATCCCACCGCAGCTGCCAACTTTTTTGACCACATCGTCTGCTTGTGGGACAGTGGCTTGGGGATACCATGTGGCGCATATATCAGTGTTTCGGACCTTTCAAAACATTTGTCAATGCACGGGGTGAATGGGCCGGCAAAATCGGTCATATCATGTGCATGGGGCGACTGTGGAAGAGCCCCCATGAAACGGGAGAGCATTGTTCGACATGTCGAGGAAGTGCACTTGCAGGTGAAATACCTCTGCGACCAATGCAGCGCTTCTTTCACGCGCAAATCTACGCGCAACGGTCATGTTTTCAAGTCGCACCCTTACGCGTCTTAGTAGGAAATTTTTACGTTTAGGTGCTTATATTTTGCTGGACTTCTGGCAATTGTCTGCGATGCTGTACGTTAGTGTACCACCCTAGTATATATGTATGTACATTATCACATCCGGTCACCAGTCTTGGACAAAGTACTAATATTTAACCACAGTATATCTTTAAATTCATGTACATGTACATTTGATGTACATAGTAGTATAGTATCGTTTTGTATACATGATGGCGTTTTACCCTGATTTTTATGTTTAGGTCAGAACCCGCTCCATCCACATTAGTAATGTCGGGGGACACAGCCAGCTTGATCATGGCCCCAGCTCTCTGAGCAATATTAACATCATTAGAACCCAATCCCGCCGCTCTTGTGCGGACTTTGAGCGCTGAGTATTCATCGGGTTTGGCGTATGATAGCATCACCGCTGCAGAAGGTCGCCTTAATGTTGTTTTTAGGATGTATGTTTATTGTCTCTACTCCGTTTTTCGCACGTCCGCCTTTTGGGCTTGGCAGTAGAGTAGGAAAATGCTCGTCTGAATCATGCGCGTAGTTGAACTGCAGGGATTGGCCAATTTTTACGAGGCTGATCTCGCGCAGGCTGTGTAGGTGCTGGTGGGTGTTGCAAAGGCAGAGTAGGGTGACCATCTAGGGTATAGTGCTGCGAGGCAGGCTGTGAAGTCACTGGCGGGTGTTGCAGAGGTGGAGTAGTGTGAACACTCGAGATATAGTGCTGCGAGTGATGTTCCGATTCAAATACATGGATGGAAACTGGAGGCACCAAGTCAAGGCTTGGCACAGTGAAAGAGAACGGCCAAAAAACACTCACCGTCAACACGAACACGTGAGTAATCTTTGAGAGTGGGTGGTGCGCGATCTGCGCTGGTTAGATAGATCACTGCAGAATCGTCGCCGAGAGGGGAGGAAATGTCATGGGTGGTTCGTGTTGAGAGTCTACCGTGAACGTGTTGAATGGGTATGGGATAAAATGATGCATTATGATTAAAATCGGTGCGTGTGGAGTGTGTGTTTGGAGAGGGTGTGAGGGCTTGAACGAGGGTTGGTAGTTCGTACGGTTTTCACGGAGGAGGGTCTGTTTGTGTTTCCAGAATTGAGCGGGGGTGAGGTCCTGTCGCATAAGTCGTGTCAACAATAACGGCTGAACTTGAATGGGGATACGTACCATACTCCACAGCTTGTGATCATCCCCCGATCCCTAGATATATGCAGAACCTGCTTCGAAGCAGATATGCAGATAATGGGTAGAATCGCCGTTCAGCATTGTTATCAGGGAATTTGGGGAATATGGTGGTGCTGGGCGTTATCCAGGTCTGGCGGAGGGGGTATTGCAGTTTCGGGAGTACATGGAACGAAGCCTACAAAGCCACAATTTCAGATGCCTAAGACTCAGGGTTAAATAAAATAAGACTGACAGCAAGATCATCCGCTCACTCATCTAACTTTTGTTCTACCTGATCATGTTCTTGTGCGCCGACCACCCCAGGTGGAGTGTGCACCTTCGTGTTCCAAGCATCCGCATCCACGTTTATGTTCGGAGCGGTTTTGAGGACGGCTCTATTTATGACTGCACACCAGATTGGAACGGTTTGAGATAGCGCGTCTGGCATGCGTTTGCCTGCTCTCGTAAAATCCACTGGCAAGAGCAGTCTAAAGCCCGCACGTTATACAGTTTGTGTGTGTGCACAGATCAAAGGTAATACATGTGAATTGGGCCTTCGAAGATCGAAGCTCCAGTTTCCGATGTGTCCATCGGTGGACTTGAAATATACGCGTCCGTTTGATGCCTGCCAAGGTGGGTTCGATATTCGTGAGCTGCAAAACATGGATCAATCATCAATAGTAGACTCACGGTATCAAGGTCTGTGCACCATGCTCCGCATCGCATGATGGCTTGTGGACGCGTGAGGTGATGACGGTGATGGTGGTGACGGTGACACTCACGGATGAGAGGAAGTCTGAAGTAAAACTGATAGAACTTCAAGTTGGTCTACGAAAGCGGCGTCCTCTGCAATGGAGTGGTTTCGGTTTCAGAGATCTTGCGATTCCTTTTGTAGCTCACTGAAGGCTAGTGATCATATGCGCTGTGGCCCATGACGATCTATAGGCGTCGGAACTCGTAAATCTTCAGCCAGGCCAATAAGGCGCTGATCTCTATCCAGTGGCTCCGGAGTCCGAGGACCCGAGGCGTACCATACCTCATTTGGCTAAGGCTCAGGAATCAGGATTGCGTTAGACTTGTTGGTTTGAGAAGCCAAGGTTTTGCGAAGGTTAATATACTGCTTTGTTTTTACCAAAATTCACAATCTTATATCCCTTGGACAGGAACTGTGACACACCTTACTCGTGGACGCAATAGTGGAGCTCATTGGCGACTCCGCTACTACTTGGACCGTCAATCAAAGCTGTTTTATCAGACAGTAGTAGATCAATATCTGCTGTGGTAAATCTACATCCTCCGTCAGACGCAGCTAGAGCTCGGCCAGCAGCAGATATGTGACGGGAGCAGAGATTAATAGGGATGGCAGGTGAGACACTTTTTTTTACAAATCGCAAGCTTTAATCGTGTATTACACAAACTTCTGTGCACTACTTTAGAAACTAATAAGCTATCTGTTGACGCAGCCGCATGCATATAATTAACAAAAGAATCATCGCGGGAGCTTTTGACGGTATGAAGAAAGATGGGCGTGCAAGTCGGAATGAACTGTCGTCTCTATGGTTCAGCGGGGTCTTGCATTCTTTACCGCCGTAACATCAGCAACTGTTATTCACGGTTAGTTGGGCGTTATCCTTGTTTTTACACGTTCTGCCCAAAAACAGTTCTGCTGATTGATTATCAGAGCCTGTGTGAGCGACGACCAAAATGAAGTAAAAGTCCTCTTCCATCACCCCCATGATAGGCTAAGGCCAACATACACATCTAATATTCACATCTCCACCATCTCCCACACGATCCATCTCCGCATAGGTGTGCACATTGTATCCCTCAAATGAAGTTTCATCCTTATTAACAAATGGAAGGCCCGCTTAGGAGCCCTTCTCTTTACATTTGCACGTTTGATTAAGTTTCTCTGAATCCACGAGTCACCAGCCCTTGAAACACCACGTTACAAACTCAAAGCATTGTTTTGGACGCGGTCCGGTAGATCAGCGACTACAGGTTTTCTATTTTTCCACGCCCCAACAGACATTGCTAAACGTTTTGAAAGAAAATTTCTAAATCGTCACCGTCACTAGCTCGCCTTCAGTGAGCTCAATGAACTGGACGTACTTGGAACATCCGATGGAGCCACCCATTGACAAAGCCGGTGGGTGTTCTGTGAATTACGATAACTGATAAGCTGCACGACAGACAGCAACGAATACCGTCCTACATCGTCGGATCATGACCAAGGCGCTAAACGTCTATGTTCTACCAATGCGATCAAATTCACTGCGAACGAGCTCAACACGCCACAGTATTCCCTTTGCATATGTTTGTCGTGCGTTCTACAGCAAATGAACTGGTCATGTTGTTCTATTCATTCCGCTCCGTCGCCACCCGTGATATATTGATACTTGGACCTATGACGTTTTGTATTCGCATCGGGTCTTGTTTTTTCTGCATATCACAAGTTCTCCGACTTGACCTGCGCGGGGACGATTGAATAGGCATCCTTGGGTAAAAGTTGCTAGTCTGGTGCTTCACGTTGTCGTCACCCTTGGAAAAATATGTCTGTCAGAATTCTGATAACATACACCCGTCGGAAAGCACAATACATTGTTCCGCAACCCCTTCACTTCTTTCATTGATATCACAAAGCTGCTGACACGAGGAATTCATAGGGCGGATCGCGCCGGTTATACTATCTAGAATAGTATTGCATTGCATTGCTCATTCTAATGCACTCTAGCCCCTGCCAAATACTTGGACTATAAAGTCAGCAATCACAAATACCGGTAGCTACCAACAACGTTTTCATTAACCATTGTCTATTCTCCCCCCTACTGCGAGAGCGCATGTCTGCCTTCTTGTCTGTCAGTCATCATACTTGTTCTTTGTCCAACAACTAATGATCGTTTGGTATTTCATAGGCCCCACACAATGATCCCACCCCTGCCACCAACTTTTCTAACCACACCATCTGCTCGTGGGACAGTGGCTTGGGAATACCATGTGGTGCATATATCAGTGTATCGGACCTGTCAAAACATTTGTCGATGCACGGGGTGAATGGGCCAGCAAAATCGGTCATATCATGTGCATGGGGTGACTGTGGAAGGGCGGCCATGAAACGGGAGAGCGTTGTTCGACATGTCGAGGAAGTGCACTTGCAGGTGAAATACCTCTGCGACCAATGTAACGCTTCTTTCTCGCGCAAATCTACGCGCAACGCTCATGTTTTCAAGTTGCATTCACACACATCCTAGTTCTTACGTTTGCGTGCATATATTTTGCTGGACTTCCGGGAATTGTCTGCGATGCTGTACGTTAGTGTACCACCCTCGCAACACCCTTGTATATATAATGTCACATTCGGTCACCACTCTTGGACATAGTCTCGATTTTCAACCACAGCTGGTATACCTTCTTCGAATTCATGTACATATAGCGCGCCCATACGGTACTGTCATCATTTTTGCAAACAACTATAATTACAAAGGTAGATCAACAGAATTCCAGAACAGTACTGGATCAAAAGATGTACACTCCCCGAATACTAGAAATATTAATAATGCTCGCAAGACGCTCTCCGTTACGAAGACAGCTTGTCAAACACGTACCATTCAAAATTCATTCGTCGGATGTCCCACCATCACCTTCATTGATTGAATTAGTGTCGAAGCATAGAGGAAATATGTCTCCTGTTATTCTCTCGTTCGAGCGCTGCATCAAGATCAATGTCTCGGTGGGCCTAGTACATACGGACGTAATTTAGAGTGTTGTAATGGAAATCGAACGATCAATGATTACTAATATTTTATAAAGCTCCCACGGCTGAGTCCAACAACAAACACACTCATATACCACTCACACCACAAATTTTAAAAACGGTGTCATTTGAGCTCTACGCCTGCAAACGTTTTACTCAAACAAGTACTTACTATGCGAGCGAACGCGTATCGTAAGATGCTGTTTTGCAACACACTTCTTTCATCTCGCTTTCATCTCGCATTAGCTCGCTTAGTTTTTCTTAGAAGAGAATCTTCCGCTCCTGTCAAAGTTTTACACTATTTCTCGTTTACAATGACTAACGTTGCGTCAAATTCCGGTTTTCCGAGCGGGGTAGGGGGGGAAGACACGTCTTCCCTGGTCAGCGGTGGCCCAAGCCAAAATCAATCCGACACTGATAGATTGGTTGATGCAGTAGTTAGAAATAGGAACCACGAGACTGTTACGTCGCGTGAAGTCATTGAACGCAAAAGTATCACGCGTTCTGATCGAAACAGCGACAGAGCAGACCGGAGATAGGCAACATTGGGATTCGTCTCTGATGACGAGGACTTGCTTGTGCTAGCACTCAGTTTTCACTAAATTTGTAACATCAATACTTCGTTCAGTATTCTAGTCATATCACTAACAGTCTGCAAAAGTTAGACATACCTTACACTATTAAATTCTGCTCTCGATTTCGCAGATTCCAGCTTTGTTATAGCTCAACAAGCAATAGTAAGCACCTTCTGTAGCTACCCGCCATGCACAATCTGGTCTTTCTGGATCAAGCCCAGACTTGTAAGCTTGGATAACGAACGATTCAAGAAACGAACTTTGACTCAGCCCAAGATCGGATCAGAATTTGGAATTTGACAAACTGATAAACTGCAGTCTCATTGGCTTTGTAATGTCCTACTCTCGGAAACCACCTATTCGCGCTTGTGTGAGGTATAGCATGTCTATCGCATAGCTCTATTACAGTCCAAAGTATTATTTGAGACGCTGGTGCATCAATCGTCGGAGGTAGGCTGAATGATATTCCTCGGTTCCAGGGAAGGAATCACCCCAAGAGGATTAGTCAAGTAATTGCGGAGGAATTCCCTCCAGTTGGCTTTCGAGGGCACGAAATGACCTATCTAGGGCGTCAGAAACGAGTCACAGCACATGGTGGAATCGGCTGACCGCCATCATGCTCCTCCAATCTCTTGTTCTGCGAGAGATCAAGTAGACCCTGCGAGCGCTCCTCAATGACAATGACATCGTTTCTCCCGAGAACATGCAGGGTTGGTGTAGAATATGATGTCCCAAAGATTTCTGCACTGAGAGACCCGGGTGCTTTGAAGCCTGAGACGGCTACACAGAATTTGCTAAGTCAAGGTTGAGCACTTGTATCTCTTTGGTAGGACACATCACGTACAAAGGCGGGTGAGGACCCTCTCCATCAACGAGAAAGGGAGGGTATGAATGAGGCCGCTCTAGCTGGAGAAGGATGAAGCCTTGAGAGTCAACAGGTACGATCGCATCGCAAATATACACACGAGAGCGGCAAGCAGAGCAGCCATAGCTGCTCCTTGACTTTGGTTTCACAGATAAGCCAAACGGCATCAAAGATGGACAGTGAAAGATTACCTGAAGCCAAACACACCCTACGACCAATTCATTTTAGCTCAATGTGTGATATGCAGCAGACATGCTCACATCATATCGATCACGCTGAAGAATATCTCTCAGAAGGAGTATAGATTCTTCTAACCCGTGGGCGATTGTTTTCTCTGGGTTAGTTTTCCACCAAGCTCGGGGCGTAGTTGAAGGATCAGAGGATGTCGCGTTCGCCTCTGAGGCTCCGAGAGCTGCCAACGAAGCTGCAGACGAGGCGCCGTTGAGGTCAACAGGAAGTAAGACAATGGGTCCGTCGATGAATACTATGTCCGCCTGTTAACCTGTACATCTGTATGATTGCATAAATTCCAAACGTACCCATTTCAATGCCTTTTCCCATCGATTTCCTCAAGGCCCCAAGCTTTGATGAATCGGCCCTGTAAGATGACGATGGGGTACCAAAACACAAAGACACTTACGCGTTTACTGAATATACTCGCATTTTGCGAGTGCCTGAGGAACTGAATCAGTCATCCATTGAAACTCATTAGAGTATAAACTGGTACTTACCCATGCAGCATTAGCACCTTCGTTGGAGCAGCCATCACTGTTAGTTCGCCTCTTGTTTCGTCTAGTCAGACCTGTAGGCTGTAGGATGACAGCCGTTCCGTCTACGTTATAAGAGCTTGTATGCAGTCAAAGTTCAAACGTTCGGGCTCAAGGTCTATCGGTCTTCGCCTGAGTATCGGTCGGGCCGGTCAGAGCCGTTCCAACTTCCCAGCGTCTGCTCACCACAAACCAAATCGGAATTCGAACTCACACGTCACCCTTCATTTAGCCAAAAGACGATGTACATCCTTAAGACTTTTTGTATATGCAAATGAATCTCCCCGAATGTACTGGCTCTTCTTAAATCACTCCGAGTACCGATCTTGCGACGGTGGAACTTTCATCGTCTCGATGATCCCTCTCACTTTTTCATACACAGCGAACACGATCGCCTGTCCGGAGCCACTCGCAGAACTCTCGGCGTAATCCCTTTGTAGAACGACCGGACGCCTTCCTGTTTCCACATATTCTTTGCTATCGCTGCAATCCGCTCAAACGCCGTGGTTCCTGGTTCATACGTAGCCTTTTGCAATCCTATCGGTGTCATGGATTACTTGGTTGTAGGCAATCCCAGTAAGATGAACTTACGAGTTTTAATCGTGTCTATCGGAGCGTTCGAGAAGGGTCCCATAGCACCTGATATGAGTCCAATAACTATGTGTTGGTATGAAGGTAAGTCCTTCAAATCCGGCTGGTATGCGTGTGCCAATTTCTTAAGTTCCTGATATGCAGTGAAGCCTACGATCACATGATTCATAAGCCTCGGTCACGGTATCAATGACAGAACTCGTTAAACTGACCTTGATTAGTAGCTTGCCGTAAAGCAGTGAGCGAGACTCCTCTATAAAGGGCCGAAAAACCTTCTTCACGTATGATCGTATACACGACCCGCATTACGATATCTCGGAGCTTCCAGCGGATCGGCGAGCGAATGTTGTTGCGCCTGCAGACGGATCTTCACCACTTCCATTGGACAGACGACCGCGACCGCCTCGGTCGTCCCAGCAGCGAGCCCAGCTAAGCCGAGAGTTCAGTTTCCATCACGCAATGACTTTGAATAGATTACCGATGAAGATATTCCCCACTCTGGTGTTCCCTGTTGATTTATCTGCTAACTATTCTTTGTAGGTCTCAAAGCTGGCAAATCGGATGGCCATCTTTGGGACTATTCCGGAAAGGACAGCGCCGAGACCCTTGTATAATGCTAATGGCGTCTCGCGTCTAACGATCATAACACCTGTCGCCAAAAATCCTCGTGGTTTTGTCTGGCGGGGAGTTGGTTGATGAATGTAGCGATGCGCCGTCCTTGTGGCCCATGACTAGGACTCTGGACGTTGGAACTTGTGAACCTCTGGGCGATAAAGCGCTGATGTCGCTTTCCATCCAGGAAGGAGCCAGTAGTGTCGTCGCCGAGGCGAATCGAATCGAATCGAATTGGGAAATTGCGGCAATTCGACACAGCTCGACACTTACGAATCGTAACGAATTATGCCTCGTTTGACTCGCGAGTTGGTAACGAATTCGGGAGTGATACAGACCGGCAGTCCAGCCAATGAAAAGCTAGCGATACTCGTACTGCCAACGACGATTATTTGCAAGTAGCTACACAATGAGCAGACAGAACTAATTACAACCTATCTCCCTTGCATTCGCGAGTAACTGATCGAGCTCTCGAAGATCCCCAGTAGCCATCAGCTCGTCAACTGCTCTTGGAGTCACCGGTCCACATATTGTGTAGTCCTGCTCATTAGCCACCAGGTCCGCTGTAAAATCGAGGTGATCTTGCTTGTAGACAAACTTCAGAACTTTTTTTATTTTTATTTTTATTTAAATCCAATTTCTGTCCTTTGTAGATGATTTACATCTTTTTAGCCAGGTCACTCCTGAGCTAAACTCACACAGGCAGTCATAGCCATGCATACGATATCTATGGACATTGGGATCTGTGTAGGAAGTTCATGCATCTTGCATGCTCTCAGCGACCAACTTTAAATGGTTGCGAGTGCTGGTGCAGCACACAAAGCATCGGAGTTTGGCTGTGGCAGCATTCCCAAGCTTGGAGGTACTGTAGAAGTCAACCCTTCTGATTCAGGGAAAGAACTGCTAAAGCATGAGTTAAACTCTGGCAGATCAGATACGGCCTCGGATTCCAATGCATGAAAGTTAGGGAAGAGTAACGCAGGAGGGAACCACATGAAATGTAGGAGATGACCTTTGATACGAAACAACATACATGTGTGATGCATCAGTATTGTAATTTTTATGTGCCATAGAATATTGACATTTCGCTGAAGAAGATTTACATGACGTACTGAATTGTGAACAACTCTAGGGATCTGAGTATTGGAAAATGCGATGCCATTTCTGTCATGCGTTATTGTGAGCTCCAGCGCATATCTAGTGTCAATAAGCAAGAACAGCTTCTAAAACATTTCATACCAATCTGGGGTCCAAAGCTGAAGAAACTTGATGCGAGTGTGAAATTTCATACCAGATCAAAGAGACCATCCATCACAGCCAAACACCATATCCGGCAAATCACTTCAGGTCCCCTCTTCTCGCGTATCGGAATCCGATCGGAAGAAATTGCACAACACGCTTCTTTATCATCCTGATAGCAATCAAGCGATGGATGAACCTTGTGGAAAGGACCTGCTGCCGTTCCCAGTGTTGTTGGCCAAGTACAGGAAGAGAGATAAATTTTCATCTCCGGAAGCCACGAGCATGAAGACCTACCTAGGACGCGCGCCTCCTGAGAAACATATGTCGCATTATGATAAATGTCATGGCACCAGCCAGTGAAACGATCTAGTGGACTCAGCGCGAACTCTGGATAAAATAATAGTAACAGTCGACTCACCCCGGCGAACAGACACGGTATCCACCACGTATAATTAGATGTTAGCAGAGCACCAGATATTGGTGTTCCTGGACAAAGAATCATGATCTGAAGCTAGAGCCGACATCATTGCACCCACCAATCAAACCTCCGATTCCTATACAGTGATCGCGACAAGTTTGAATAACATGGAAGTAATAGTAATGATAATACTCACCACAAGCAAAGAGACAGATGCCCATCCGTGCGCTATGATCCAGGTGAGATGGATCGTACGTTCGAACATAAATGATCACTTGCCCAAGCTCAGAAACATCGGGCGTTAAAGTGGCCATGAGTGCACTCGACATCGCAACGTCTACATGCAGCGATGAACCCATGTTAATGATAGCTGATGATAGCTGAAAAAATTACTTACTCAGCCCCGAAAGATAGCCATAAATCACGCCAAGCACAACGGCGCTTGCCAAGCTACTCAGCCCAATCATGGCAAAAATGAGCACACTGCACAAAATTGCCGTCACTGTGATTAAATTGACAACCCCCGTGAACCCTGCAATAAACCCTGACGTGAGTCGCCCTAAGCAATTGGACCCATTCAAGATCACTAACTAGAGATTCTGTCAGCAGACGCCGCGGATGACTTGCATATTGCTGGAACCCACAGAGTAAAACGAAAAATGAACACTGATACCATGCTTGATAGAGTCTAGTTGAAAGAAGAATAATGGGTAGTAGAAACCGATCTGGAAAAGAAAGCCCCTGCAGGATGGTTATTTGGAGAAAGTCAAGAATGTGCATTGCAGGTCTCACCCTGTGACCATGAGCATAAATGGTAGATCGCGAATACATTTTCTAGCTGCCACGATATAGTTCACCGGTATCGCCGGCGGATCAAGGCGAGTTCGCATGCACAAACATGCAGTTAAGAGAAATAAGCTGATCAACCCTGCGCTTATACGGACGCCGTTGGAAAAACCAAGAGGGCCGTTGAGGAGGTTATTGAGCATGATCGGATGGATGATAGCACCTAGCGATGAGCCTGTAACGACGAACGTCATGACCAGTGTGCGCCTCTGTCGGAAGTGATGCGAGATGACAGCCAAGCTAGGAATATACAAGAGCCCCGTCGCGATACCCAACCCTAATCCTTGAGAGAGAAATATCTGACTGAGTCAGAAACCAAGATTTAAAAATTGGGGAACATTACCTGGTAGTAGTGATCCGGTTTCGACAAAGATAACATGAACAGAGATAAACACTCCAGAAACGATCCGACAATTAGGAGATGGTAACTAGTGAAGCTTGTTGAGTATCGTCGAGAACTACCAATAGATCTACACTCACAAATACCCCCGGTCGTGCAGTGAACCTGCCACGAGGCTCATGAACAGGAGTAAAGACACGCTAGTGCTCCCGATCCATCTACAAGTCTTGAGGACTCGGATACCCGCCATAAAAACGTAAATAGAAACTCACGATATAGCAGACGACGTCTCATTTGTCAGGTAATGTTGGGTATAGAAGTCTGGAGGGCAATATATCAAATTGTCCATCCTCGCTTTTGTCGGCAGCAATACCTTGATAGACACCAAATGAAGTGATATAACTATTAAAATTAAATCAGTTATAGAGCTATTTCCTGCCAACACCTGCACCAGACTCACCCGAACCCGCAAAACTGTAGCAGAAACCTGTGTGAACTGAGTAGAAGCCAGCTCGGATATTTTGCCTTCTTACGCTCCAAAAGCAGTTGCCCAACCTGCCCAACCACCTTCGGAAAACTCGTGCGGGCTTGAGGGAGAGTCCCAACGCTTGGAGACTCGACATGCTTCCAATATCTCTGGGCCGTCTTTGTCGTCTTGCAGGGAAGCCACTTCTGGATGAACCACTCGAAGTTCGGATTCGGCTGCCATCCTGGGCTGGGAGAACTAACAATGACAATAAGTACAGTACTTGGGTATTTATATGCACACACCTGACCACCACGATTCTACGTCCGCCGAGTCGGACAACTGATGCTGCAACGTTGGTCAACATAGAATTTGCAAACGAACATTCTTTCGGGCCGAACAGATGGTCAACTCTGAAGAAAAGAAGGCCTGATAAGAACAGCCATTGCTGATCGAAACCGGGACGTAGTCCGTGGCAAACACGATCCTGCAATGGCGAGTGAGAGCTGCCAGACGTTCATGGACATCCGGAACTTCGAGAGAATGCAGGATGAGTTAGAACAAGAGTATATAGTTAGGAGGACAATGATCGGTAGACGTCAAGCGCACATGGCGCTAGACCAATTTAGACGACAGGTCGGAGCACAGACAGGATCTTTGAAATGTCTCACTGGATGACTTCCCGTGGGATTTAGAATTCCAGATAGGTGATTCAAACCCTATGTGCCGAGGAGCCGCTGTGAAACGTAAGCAACTTCCAACTCCGCACGTCAAACGCACCCTGTTCCAGACCAAAATTTGGAAGGGGGCACATCGGGGTGAACGATATTTAAAAGAGGTTTATATGTTGTACAAAATGTGAAAACAATATTTGATATTTAAACTAACATAAAGATGGGTGCACGACTTCAAATTTTGGTGGTGTTTTGTGTGTCATCCAAAATATCAAATATTCACGACCATATTCCCACAGACAATGTCAACAAATATAATAAATATAATCAGATTTTCCATGTCTGCTTCAATTTAAAGTTTGCTTCTTACATAAAACTTTGGAGAAAACTTGAAGTTTTGCCAAAGCTTGACATTTAAATCGAGTTTTAATGTCATGTCATCTGTAAAACTTCAAGTTTTCTCCAAAGTTTTACATGGAAATTGAACTTTAAGTTGAAGCAGACATGAAAAATCTGACTATATTTCTTATGTTTGTTGACATATTGTCTGTGGGAATATGGTTGTGAATATTTGATATTTTGGATTACACACAAAACACCACCAAAATTTGAAGTTGTGCACCCATCTTTATGTTAGTTTAAATATTAAATATTGTCTTCACATTTTGTACAACATATAAACCTCTTTTAAATATTGTTCACCCCAATGTGGGGGGTACCCCCCCTTCCAGATTCAGATCGTTGTTCTAAATGACATTTCAATGTCCGCGACAGGCGTCATTCGGACTCAATGATTCCACACAAACAAATGTCTGGTAAGTCTGTGCACACTCCATTCTGCACCATGCGTGCTCCCATTCATGCCAGGGCTTCATTTACAATTTTTCAAGGTCATTACGGTGCATTTTCATGTGATGTGGCAAGGATAAGAAAGGACTCGGGCATTGTTACGATGTTTTTCATATGTCCAAGTCTCGCAGATTTCTCTTTTATGCTAATCAGTGATCGCTTCAGGTGTATACTACATTCTGCACCATGTGCAACGTGCTATGCACCTGGCTATATAAAATGTATGTCTACATTCAATATACATATCACTGATCTCTCTCTAACATCCTACAAAGCCCAGAACATCTCATTATGCAGCCTGCTGGTCAAATGTTCACATACCCCCCCCACTTCCGCCTGGTTATGGTATGATCCCACCAAACTCGTATTCAGCTCCCTTCTTGCCTAGTCAGCCCTACGGTGTGCTGTCAAGGGTACCGTACAAACCTGAGCAATCAGACGGCGAGGACAACAATATGATCGCATGCCAGGTTCTGTCCCCGCCCTTCACACAACCTGCGCCTGCCCGCAAAGTTGCTGGTAGCCGCCATCCCAATGCAGTGCCATCTCAAGCTAAAGGGAAGAGGAAGGCACTCGCCACAACTGAGCCACCAACCAAGAAAAGATCGGGTCGTGGTGGTCGTGCTTCGGGTACGCCAAATTACAATGACGACGACGTTGCTGCCCTGCTTGATGCATGCATGAACCGTCTCCCGCTTGGCGCAAAGGGTTGGCTTGCTGTTGAGGAAGAGTTTGCTGCATGGGCAGATAGCCATGACCGTCCCACTTGTCCCGCAAAATCTCTTGAACTTAAGTTTAAGCAGGTATGTACTCTTATATACTGTGAACTCCGGTACTGATATTCTACTTTAAGTTGGTTCACACTACGAAGCCAACTGGTGATGCTGAGTGCCCTCCTCACATTGAACGCGCTCACGAAATTGACGACCACATGAACAAGAAGGCTGGCACCCAGGATCTCAATGACGATGAATTCGCTGATGAAGTTATCAATATTGGGAGTGATGAAGATGAGCCTCAACGAGCCGGGACACCAAAGGTCACCATCAAGACTGAGACATGAGAGCCCGCACTTAGTATTTCCTGTCATTTTGTTGACACACCCACTCCTCGACCTCGCACCTCATGCACCTCAGGTCTCGATCTTCTAACTTCAATCACTACTTTGCTTGATCCTCAACTTCAAGCTGCTTGAGATGACGAGCGCGCTGCTCGGACTTTGCAGACCACTCAACTTGTATCTACGTCCAACCAGTTGCGAGATGCACACATGATGATTAATTCGCTACATGATCAGCTCTTGCAGTGTGAATGCGAGCGTGCTAATGCTGAGCGTTGTGTGGACCATCTAGAGATGCAATTGGAAATGGCTTGACTTGTGAAGAAAGGTACAGATCGCCGACTGATGCCACAAATGCCACGACCACGATACATACACCGTGAAATGAAATATACTGATGGGGGAGCATCTACAATCTGGATCTCACCTGATGATGAAGATGAGGATTTCTTTAATCACGACAACTTCCGTGATGTAGTCTCTCAACAGGATTACATCGAAGATCCAAAGACTGGTCGTCACATCATTTGCAGACCCTCCACTCCACCTATCCATTCTTCGAGTGCACAATTCAATGTGTCATTCACTCCAACATCTTCCTGTACCGGCACAAACGACTTATCAGTTGTGATCTCACCAACTCATGCTAGCGCTGCAACTCAGCACATTCCACCTACTTTGAGTCGTTCAATGACTCAGTCTGTCTTGCCTGCTCATGCAGAAGACTAGGCTCTCAACAGAACTCAAGCACTTTCAACAGTGCCGCTGGAGCACTCTCAACAGTGCAACTGGAGCACTTTCAACAGTGCACATCTTAAGCACTCTCAACAGCACAAAGTTTTCTCAGTTAGAAGATGATGGGGGTACTTAAGTATGTAGTATGTATATATCTGATTGATTTCTCGCAATTGGAACATGCCCTGGGCTATGATACTCTAGATATAAAAAGACGGTGACCCGAAGATCCCCAAGTAGTGGGAATGTAAGTGTTGTCACAGATAACCTTGGATGCGAGCATGAAGGCGGATACGAAAAGACGGTGACCTGAAGATCTGAGGGCAGCAAAGGTTACAGAAGAATGGAGCTTTGTCCGGTGAAGTGCGTATGCAATGAAATGGGGGAGCTTTACTTGTGAGTTAGAAGATGAAGGGGGGTACTCTGGACAAGCAAAAAGGTGCATAATGAATCGACTGCATAACCGGGAAACCTGCTCATGACCATAGAATGGGTCAGAATGTCTCGTCATGGGTTGAGTAGACTGAGGTTTAGGTGGTGCCTATGTTGTATGATTAAGGATATGAATATGACGAGCGGCTACTAAAAACTGACCGATGGTGCAGGATGATAGCCCATTCGCGAATTACTCTGGACAGGTAAAAAGATAGTTAATCATTGAACCGCTCGCATAAATGAAAACATTCTACTATGTACTTGACAAATGGAATCGAGCTACACGATCATTGCTATGCTGATGTGAAAATAACATGTTTTTGAATTGTGCCCAAACCATCCTATCCTGCTCGTCTTCTTGCCAAATTGGCATGTATACGCTTCGTATTTCACTAATGCCTACCATCCAAACACACACATTGTTGAGCCGAACACACACTTCAAGCAGATCACGACACTGCTCACTGAAGTTAATGTCGAGGGGAATGTGAAGATGTCCAAAGGAGCCCTGAAGAGCATGCATGCCCCACTCTGCCATCTGATGGAAAGAAAGCAGCTGCCGGTCAAATAAAAGCAGCTTCTGTCTTTCGGCAGGATTGTTAGGGAGGCGTTGTCCTGACTTGAGTGGGGCTTTGATGCGACCAGCAATCTGATCTGTACCTCGCGGGAAAGCCGTATCGGCGACAAGGTAGTATCCATCTGGTGTGTTTGCGCTGAGTTTGTCATAGATGGGTTGGGCCACATGGGAGTCATGCCAGCTGCCTGGCGCATTGAGGCAGCATTGAATTATTGAGCCTGCGAGTAGTAGCAATCAGAATGAAAGACTGAGCGGATGATTTGGACAAGAGCGCACCATCAGCACTAAATGCAATGACCGAACTGACAAAGTGACTGTGCAACCACCCATTATAGGTTGCGTTCTCAATCTCTTGGTCCTGGGATGTCTGGACAGGTAAGTTGAGTCCATCTAGTGTGCCGAAGCCCCCCGTCAACAAGGGATGATGCGCAACGACAAGGTCATTTAAAACTTGAAATTGATCCCCAGAAGGCCACTGGATGTAGGCTTCGGGGATGTTCTTGAGTGCACAAAGTAGTATGGTGAGGGAAAAATGTAGATAGCGTGAGACGGTTGTTGGGATAAGCGCAAAAATTTGCATGAGGCTGTTATGAACTAGGATAGTTCTAACAACAGAGACTTGACAGAGTCTTTTGGCTGTTGAGATTGGGAAAGTCCTTCAGAAAAGAAGGGGTTCTGTAAATACTTAATCGAAGGAGTGCTTCGACTAAGAATGCTAGTTCAGACGACTTAAGATTGGAGGTCTTAAGCAAAGGAAGTTCTGGTAAAACCTAGTAAGATTCAAGTGAAGTTCTACAAAGCTAATACACGTGCTTAAATAAGTCAATATGCGCGCACGGACCAAGGTAGTCGTGAGATATAAGTACATGATCCAAGAAAGGTAAGTGATCATAAATGAAAGGCGTGTTATGGAACAAAGAGGGAAAAGAAGCAGAAGAAAGGCATTATTGTATGTTAGTGCAATGCACGCCGACACGACAAGCGGAGTTCAATGGTTGGAATACGAACCAATACATATATATATCGCATCGTAATATTCTCTCCCCTCAGTCTGTTCCATCACGACTGAGGGTGAGCTCTCTTGTTGGTTCGAGTCCTACCTAGATACTGACGGACGCTCTCACTAGACTGACATTGTATCTAGGTATACTATAATCTTAGTCTGTTCCATCACGACTGAGGACTGACATTGTATCTAGCTCTTATAGGTTATGAGCCCTGCTCGCTCGTAATAAACGAGGAGCGGAACCATCTAGATAACAGCGGGTTGACTACTCAAAACAAACCCGCCGGGCGACTTAGCGTCCTTGAACCATCAAACACGACACCCGCGTCATAGTCCTTTCCTCTCTGAGCGTCGACGTCATTCGAACACATAGCTCTTTCCTCTTCAGGCAATAAGCCTCAGAAGCACGTATATATACTTCTAAGGACGCGGATCACCTCTTCTTCCCGTCCGTCATCATCATGCCTTCTGCAGCGCATACGCGCTCTCGGAGCTCCGGCACGAAAGGCACTACACTCAGCCCACCAGCCTCTACTTCCGCTATCCCGGCCTTTACCACCATGTCCTCGTTACAGGCCACTGTGACGGCAATCTCTCTTAGCCAAACTGACCTAGACAAAATCGAGGTCCTTGATCGCAGCAAGAACAATTGGAGCCTTTGGTCTGACCGTATGCAGAACTACCTTCTCCTGAAACATGGAGGAGGATACATTCTAGGTCTCGTCACTCGGCCCGATCCTTCTGTGGACCCTGTGAGTGCTGGTCATTGGGACCTTAATAACCTATGCATCATCGCCGCGCTACGCACACGCTCGACCTCCGAGGAAAACGAATTCCTTCGCAACTACACCAATGCATACCTCGCGTGGAACGCTCTCAAGTCTCATCACGAACAGGTCGGACCCATCGCCCAGATCTTGCTCATCCAACAGGCGCTGTCTGTCCGTTATCGACGCTCTGAGCGTCTCTCCACCACGAGCACTCAACTTGGTGAACTCGTTCGGCGCATATATGCTATTGGCATACCTAAGGAAGATGATTTCCTCACTATCATGATGCTTAACGCCATGGCAGAGGATCTCCCCCACGTCCGCAACCACATCGCAGATGCTCTCGCCACCAGTACTTCTACCACCTCTTATGGTCCCTCGAACATTCGCTCACGCCTCGACGTTGAGCAACAGCTCATCGACACGGAGAAATCCAAGAGTGGTGACGTCGTCATGGCTGCCACCGGCAAGGGGAGCAGCACTCATCACCGTGACCGTGTCTCCTGTAGTACCTGTGGCAACTCGAGCCACCCCTCCAAGGACTGTTTCGCTAAAGGAGGCGCCATGGAAGGTAAACGGGACGAGGTGCTGGCACGCAAACGTGCTGCGCGAGACGCTAGGGGGTCATCAGCAGGTAATAAGACAGCAACCGCACCTAAGCCGGCAGCGGCCACCAGGAAACCCGGTGGTCTTCGCTATGACACTAGTGGTCGAGCATACTTGCTCGACAGCGAGTCACACCAGGCTATATATGTGGCGTCTCCCCCAGAACCTGCTGACACCCATACCCCTTCGACTGAGTTCGCAGGTCTCGCCAGCGACACTATCACTCCTGCATTTATACGCGAACTGTCTGCCGTAGACGAAGATGAGTATACTGCACTCATCGCAGCTGTGGATTCTCTTACCACCAGTCTCGACTGGCGCTCATACACCCGCGCTGTCGACTTCGCTGGCATCACCTACAAGGCCCCCAACCAGCGTCTGCGCACCATTGTGGACCCATCCATAGTTCCTTTCTTCCTTGACAGTGGCACATCCATTCACATTAGCAACAATGAGGCTGACTTCTTTAGTCTTCGGCCCATTCCCCCCCGTCCTGTCAACGGTGTTGGAGGTTCCTCCATTCAAGCTGTGGGCATCGGCACTCTGCGCCTCGTCGTCGCTAGAGGGATCCACATCACCCTCGAAAATGTTCTCTTCATCCCCGCTGCCACCGTCCGCCTCATATCCGTTTCTGCTCTCTGCACAGCGCATCGGTGTGTCGCGTCTTTCGACGCTGCCAACTGTTGGGTACAGTCGCGTAATGGAACCCGCATGCTCTCGGGCACTTTGACATCTCGCCGACTCTACGCCCTTTCCGGTGGACAGTTATCGGCCGAGCACGCCTACATGGCGAACGTCAAACCCACTCTTCACTCCTGGCATCGCCGCCTTGGACACGCGAACTTCCGCGCTGTCTACGATCTTGCTCGTTCGGGTAATGCTATCGGTATGGATATTGATCTCTCTGCTGTACCTCCTAAATGTGACGATTGCATCCTTGGGAAGCAGACCAGAAACATCGTCCCGAAGGTATGGACAGGGAATAGAGCGGAGAGGAAGTTAAGGATCGTCCAGGACCTTATGGAGCACCCTGATACTGCATCTGCCGCTGGTAATAGATACATCATGGACATAATCGATGACTTTTCATCCTATGCGTGGGCCATCCCACTCGCCGCAAAATCTGATGCCTTCCCTGCCCTACAAGCCTGGGCACTCGCTCGTGAAGTGGAGTCTGGCTTGAAGGTGGGTATATATCGCTGCGACAACGGAGAACTAAAGAGCAATTCCATGCGGGATTGGCTTCTGTCGCGAGGCTCCCAGCAGCAGTTCACCGCACCTTACACTTCTGCACAAAATGGGCGTGTCGAACGCCTGCACCGCACGCTAATGGGTAAAGCTCGCGCCATGCGCTCAAGCTGCAATGTCCCCGTCAACAGATGGGATGAGTTCGTTCTTACCGCTTGCTACTTATCCAACCGTACTCCTGTGATCTCCCAGCTGAATCATACTCCATTCGAACGCTGGCACGGCCACAAACCGGACCTGGGCCATTTGCGAGAGATCGGCTGCAGAGCCTTTGTGTTGATACAGAATCGACATAATCCTAAGGTATACAGTCGGTCTGTTGAATGTGTACTTATCGGCTACTCTCTGGACTCAAAGGCTTACCGTTGCTACCATCAGGCCTCACACAAAGTATTCGTCTCCTATCACGTCTCCTTTATAGAGTCGCATCACCTTGGCACACCTTTGCCGGCCGTCGCCACAGCTCCACCCGCGCCCTCGCTAACGCCTCATGAGCCTTCTCATGCAGTAACTATCGAAGAAGTCGCAGACGTTGACGCACCCACACTACCCCTTCCTCTGCCACCTTCTTACTCTCCAGAAGCACCACGGCGCTCCCTCCGTACACCTATCCCTTCCGCCCGTCGTTGTGCCATGGAAGGTAAGCCCTATGTATCACCCACTCAACGCGCTGTCCTGGAGGCTCTCGCAACGGCAGACCGTGCTCAACCTCTCACCACGACATCGCAACTCCCTGAGGATGCTCTAGCGTCGAGTATCTCTGAGGAGGAGCTCCACACATTGGCAAATGTCTTCGCGGCCATGCCCGACAACCTGGAGCATGAGTTTCCGGATGACCCCACTACTTACAGTGAAGCCATGGCTTCAGACCACGCTTCAGACTGGACCGCAGCTCT